GGAATTTGAGAACTGGATATTGGAACGTAATGATTTAAACTAGACCCCAACTTAGTCCCTGGAATAATGTATCTAGGGCCAAATAGGTCCTTGAAAAATGTTATCGGGGCACGTTTTGGTCCATGACAGTTAAAAATTGGACATGACCTGTTTAGACTAAATTGGACACAAGCTGCAACTTAAAAGCTGCATTTTAAAACCTGTATTTTAATCCATGACACATTGGATTGCAGCATAAGCCAGATTGCAGCAAATGGCAGTACAGAATTGAATTCAAGAAAGGAACTTGCAGTAAAAAATGCAGCAAAAGAAACTTGTAGTCAATGAAGATATGAGACAGTACAGAGACATAATGCAGCAAAAATTGGACATGAACATATTGCATTGAATTGTATCCAAACAGCAACGACCAAAACCCAAACATCAACCACCTGCATTGTAGGCAGAATGAAAAAGACTGATACACAAATTCAAAAATAACCATACAGATACATATCGCAGCAAAGAGAAAAAACTGATATAAAAAAGAAACTTGTAGTCATTTATAATGGAACTTGTAGTCAGTTACAATTCAAAACTCTTCCATCATAATTAAAGGCCTGCCAGAAGTTATGGTCCACATAAACCATTGTAAACCATCCTTCAAACTATTCCCCTGTTGTTTTTTTTTTGCTTCAAAATACTCCCAGACAGAGACATATTGTGATTCAAAAAAAAAGCATACACTTCAGTTAAATGTCTTAAATACAAAAAAAGTGGGGGTACCAAAAATTACAGTCATGAACATTGTTGCCTATACAACAAAAAAGTGAACCCCTATACAAAAAAACTGTATCCAGATTTCATTCAAGCTGGTCTTGGTGGTCTAAACCCAGGTGTGGCCATGAATGCCATAAGCCTGCTCCTTGTGCCACTGCTTGTTGCATTGACAGTTTCAGTTGACAATTGTTCTGCTGGTGGTGTGGCTGTAGGTGGTGGGCTATTGCCCCTAATGGCTTCATCAGGTGCCTGGGACTGCCTTGAAGGTCCTCCTTGACTCAGAGGGATCTCCTCTTGATGTGGAGCTGCTATGTTGACATTAACTGCATGTGAAGGTGCTGCTGCTATCCTCCCTCTCTTGCTTGTAGGTGGTCCCTTACAGGTCTTGGCATAATGACCAGATTGCCCACATTTACCACAAACTGCAGCACGTGCCCTCTTTAATTTTTTTGTTTTGCTCACTTGCTCCTCAGGTTCATCCTTCTTCCTATGCTTTTTGGGACGGCCAATAGGCCTTTTCAGTGGTGGAGGAATGAGTTTAGGCTCAGATGAAGCAGACCAATATTGTTCCGAATTTACAGGGTTCAAGGTATGTGCATAAGTGGCATGCAAAGCATCCACTGTCAGCCATTGATGGACATAAAGCTCTGCTGGTTCATTCTTGTGGCATATTGCAGCAATTGCATGCTCACATGGCATTCCTGTGAGCTGCCAGACATTACATGCACAAGTCTTGTAGGTAAGATTGACACCAACCCTTTCACCCTTTGCAGTCACTTCATATAAGTCTTGCTCCAAGTTCCCTGTCCAAGTTGGTGTCCAGGAGTTGCTTAACACCTTCAATTGATCCAGCTTTTTCTGTTGAGCTGGGGCAATTTTACCCCTAACAGTACCCAGAATTCGTTGATGGGCAGCCATTCTCCTCATGATATAGCATCTCAGTTCTTCACATAGGCTGACAATGGGCTTGGACCTGTATGCAACAATTTTTGCATTCCACATCTCAGCCATGTTTTTGGTTATATTGTCACACTTGGGCCAGTGACTAAAATATGCCTTAACCCAGCATGAGGGGTGAATCTTGTTGAGGTATGCCCAAGCATCTTCATTCAACTCCTTCAATTTATCCATTGTTCTTTGGAATTGGGGCACAGTTGTGCATCGTGCAGCCTCCCATACTATTCCTCTAATGGCTTTGTCCTTCCATTGCTTAATAAAATTCTTCCACACGTGCTGCACACAGAACCTATGATGGGCACCAGGCATGACCTCCTGTAATGCTGGTATCAAACCCTGCATCCATATATCAAGCAACAACAAAAATGATCACACATGGCTAGTTATGAACAGCTTTTAAAAAAGGAAAAAACCTTTGAAAAAAACATACCTTTTGCTGATCATTTATGAAGTTCCATCCATGCACTACACAACTGCCAATGTCTTCTTGTAGCAAGGTCAGAAACCACTTCCAATTTTCTTTGGTCTCACTGTCAACAACTGCAAAAGCAATGACATAAAAGCTCTTGTTTGCATCCTTTCCCACTGCACTCAATAGCTGTCCCCCATAGTAACCTTTCAAGAAACATCCATCCAGTCCAATCAAAGGTCTACAACCAGCTTTGAATCCTTTCTTGCAGGCATCAAGGCAGACATACAGTTTGTTAAAAATTGGTGAGCTGTTAGGGACTGGTTGTGGAATTACTTGCATCTGGCAAGTGGAGCCAGGGTTGCTCTTCAAAAGCTCAGCTAGGTAGTCCCTTAGCTTGCCATACTGTTCCTTCTCACTTCCTTCTATGTTTTGTTTGGCCTTGTGTAGTGCCTTCCCTAATTTCTTCAGATGAACATGGACCTTGTACTCTTCCTTTAAATGCTCATAAGCCTCAGCTCTTGTCATATTGGGCTGTGTGACCAGCCTTTTCTCCAACTTTGCAGCAACCCAATCCCTGGTGGCCCTTTTATTTTTGAAAATTCTGCAGCAGGTATGGTTGTCATTGAATGTCTTGACTTGGAAACAATTGAATTTGTTGCTCCAAGAACAATATATCATCCACTCACAGTCAGCATTTGAGCACTTGGCTCTTGATCTTACCTTGTCATTCTTAAGCCATACAAACTGCCTCCCAAGACTTATATTGTAGTCTTTGACACCCTGTTTAAAGTGCTCCAAACTGGCAAACTCCATTCCAAGCTCGAGCTGTACTAAACCAAAGGGTTGATCCTCATTAAACTTAGGAAACACTTCCCTTTCAACCTCCTCATCCCCACTTGAAGGTGGAGTCTTCAATTCTTCAGAATTGTAACCATAGCCTTGATCTTCAAATGACATATTCTGCTCATCCTCAGAATTGTTAACTGTCTTTTTTTCCTTCTTTCCTTTCACCTTCTTTTTCAATGCAATAATTGGTTCATCATCTGTATCGTCTTCAACACCCGGTGGCGGAGGCTTATAAGGCTCGTCTTCTACACTGTTATATGAATCACTTGACAATCCATTGCCCTCCCCCTCTTCATATTCATCATCATGAGTCATATGGGAGTCAGACAAACTGTCAACTGAATCACCTAATACCCCCTCCTCATCAGCACTTTCAGGAGGAGTTGGATCTGCAGCCCCACCCAAAATCTCAGGAATTGCAATGCAACCATCAAAATATATGTCTATTTTGTTCCCATTACTTAAGGCAGCCTTGACCATTTGCAAAATATCAAAATCCTTTTCAAGAAGATGCAACCCAACCTCTAAATCACTCTCACCAGGCTTCAACCACCACATCCGCCTACATTTGTGGTAACCATACCCCTTGAACAGAGCTTCAAGGTCACGAAGGTTTACATAGTCTCCATCCATTTCTGGTAAATCATCCACTCTCTCATTCACATAATTCAGCTTCCCTTCATCATTCCTAACCAACACACCCCCATGATGATATCTCATGACTATATACTGATCCATCTGCATATAAAACAGAACATAATCATTTTTTACACTACCATCATATTAATTTACAATATCATACAAGTAATCACTACTTAACAATATGGCTTTGGGGCTTTTTTAATGGCTGCATAAAACTAATTCCACGACACTGTCATAAATAAATTTGGGGCTTTTTTGGTAATCACTACACACACCAACTTAAAATAACAAATGGGGGACCACATGCAACAAGTTCCAAAAAGATTCAACCAAAGGGGACCACATTAAAAAAAACCCTAACTTTGTCATTCCTTAACCACACATGGGGGACCACATTAAGCAAAAACACCATTTTAAATACGAAAGAGGGACCGCAGATAATAAACAAAGAAACGAATTTCACGTACCTTGCACGACAGTAACCAGAGTCACAACCGTTTAACGATCTCTTCAACCTAAACCACACTACTTCCACAAGCTTCCAACTGCAGAAGCCACGTACAGCAACAAACCACCGTGGGTCACCAACCTTCACCGCAACTGAAGCTCACGAGCTGAGGAAATGGGGGAGGAAATGCCGGGTATGGACGACTTGTGTGACTGTGTCAACTGAGTCAACAACAGGTGTAGGTCAACTCACATGCCATTCCTCAAACGACGTCGTTCCCTTTCTGAAATATCTGATACAACCTTCCAATGTAAAACGACGTCGTTCCTTTCTCTCCACGTGGGCAGGGCGTTAGTGACTCAGCCACTTAACGTTCCAGGTGGCGTTCGTCAACAGGGCCGTCACTTTCCACTTAACAGAAGGATAAACGTGTCCCTTTTTTTTCAAAAATCAGACATTGAAATGTGACTTTTTTAAACCGAGGGACTAAATTGTGCTTCGCAAAAATTTCCAGGGACTAAAAAGGTATTCACTCTAACTTATAAATTGAACTTCCACCTCAAGGGAACTTTTCCGAATTTGGGGCAATGTACAACCCAATTAGAAGCACTGACTAATTAAGTAATGTGGTAAGAGTTGGAACTTGGAAGCACTGAAATGAAGAGGAACTAATCTCAATGCAAAAATAAATTTAAAAAAAGGGCATCTGAAGTCCTGTTTCTTTTTTGGAATGGAACTATATTTATATAGGATAGTTTCAATATATGTTATGCTACACCAATACAAAAGAAACACAGATCATACAACAACAAAGAATTGAGAAATCAGCAGATCAACACAATAAAATCGTCTGCATGAAGATGTTCATTTTTTACATAGTATAATTTTTTTTTAAAGTGGCATTTATTTTCCATTATGCTTAGAGAACCTTGGTTCTCATGCATTAGTTGCTGAACAAGAAAGTCGAATTTCACCCTCATCACCTGTTTTGACTCCAACACTAGTGAGCTTCAAGAAAGACTGGCCCCAATTTTCAAAGAAAAGGTCTTGATCATTTGCTAAGTCCTCCACTAGTTTCCTTGTTCTATCATCAATTAACAAAACAGAATCAGACTGGAACAACCCCTTGTTGTTTAGAAGATTTCTGTAGTACTGGTTGTCAAAGACCATAGATGTTTCAGGATCATTGTTTACTGTTACAAATGGGCTTGCACTTATGGGACACTTTTTCATTAGCTCATCAGCATAGCTACTGTCAAGGGTTTTGTCAATGAGTGTAACCTTTCCCTTGGAATCTTCTTGGAACCTACCCCTGAATGAGCTACAATGAGCTGTTCCTATTGTGTGTGCTCCTGCAAAGCCAAATCATCTTCTCATTTTGAATATCCAAAATTTTAGATAGAAAAATGGTCACTAAAATATAGTACAATTTTTTTTTATAATGAAAGAGACTATTTTCTGAATTCAAACTCGTGATTTATAAGTCACTTAAAAATAATTTTACCACTACTTGAGCTGCGTCATCTTTTACCAATTACAAAGTAGCAATTCTAATAAATGTAGTGAGTAGATTGTCATCTACACAGCATCAATAATTCAATTCTTTGTACCTAACAGAATGTCATGTCTTGCTTTGTGGGATTTTATCTCAAATATAATGAAACTCAAGGTCATTTACCCTTTTAAGAATAAAGGCAGCGGAAGAGACTGAAAATCAAAGGAATGATACTTTTTAAAGAGAAGCATGCCAATTATTATGATCATTCCCTTGGAAGAATATGCACCTGAAAGGATGACAAGATCAGCTAAAGACAATCCTTTAGTGGAGAAGCGGTTAATCATATCATCCATGGGAAAACTAGTGTCCACAATGTTGGGTCTGACATTTGAAGCAAGTGAAACCATCCCATCTCTCCTACCTGTGGAAATTGGAATCATAGGACCACCAACCTGTTCTCAAGTGCCCCTCAATAAGTAACCATAACAAAAGCGATATCAATATACTATTGAAGAATATGAATCTAAAGAATTAATTCAACCCAAAAGTTAAGCTGGTGGATGAGGCTATATTAATGGTTTTTATATATCTCTAACAGTTTTATATATCTCTAACACGCCCCCTTACATGAGAGCTCACTGGGCTTGAAGGATGGACAATACACATGCTCACCTACCTGTGCTAAGAAATTCCACAAGAGAAAATAGAGAGTGGTGAAAATCGAACCCGTAACACAAGTCTCTTGTTGAGATATTCAAGTGTGATGAGTCCCATATTGGTTGGTAATGGGCTAAGTGAAGAGTATATAAGTGGAAGGACCTATAAACCCAATGCCTTAAGGTTTTGGGTAGAGATGTGGTGTCGGACCCACTTGGTGTACTTGGAGTACTTGGAGTAACATTGGTATCAGAGCTGATACCATGTAAAGAACCAATTTAACCCAAAAGCTTAAGTTGATGCGCTTAAGCTTTTGAGTTGAATTGGTTCTTTACAGTAAGCAATGCAAGGAGAATAACTTACAATTTCAACAGCATCTCTAGCAGCCAAAGCAATTATGTCTGCACAAGAAACTGTTCCAGGACAAAAGGTTTCAAGGACTCTTTTTGCTGATTCTATAACTGAAAATCCTCCAACAGACCTATTTGCTGGATCACTTTGCTCTGTATTATTCCCTTGTAGCATCAAAGATGCATCACATCCCTGCAGATCATGAAATAACTGATCGTTACATCAAGGAAAATATGGGTGGCCAAAGCAAGTCATAATTGAATCTCAGCTTCAAACCCATTTGAATTTTCAATCACACAAAGGCAAGAACAAGCACATTCCTCGGAAGATTCTTTCCCAAACAACCAAGAACATCATCTTAGTGTACAAAAACCAGTGTAGGACTAATACTAACCTCCACAAAGCAATCATGAAAAACCAAACGAAGGAGCTTTCCAGGAATTGAAGGATCAGAAGAAGAGGATGAACTGACTGTGTTTCTTACAATAAGCTCTGCTGTTGGGCATGAAGCTGCATAGAAGTCGAAAACGAGGCTAGCTGAAACAGATGCACCAAAAAAGAAGATGAAAAGAGAAGACACCGCCACTGGAAAAAGAAAAAACACTGCTCTTTTCTCCATAGAACCAATTTTTTAGTCCTTTTTGGAGTACAAGCGCAGTGTTTGCAGTGTGCCATGTCTCTCACTTGATAATGAGAGATAACACAATAAAGATACAGCTAAGGTGATCAGAAGATTGACCCAATTCAAAGCTACATTTATGAGGTTGGATGAGGTATTGAATAAATATTAAGAGGTTATGGTCATGCATTTTCCCTCACGCCTATCATTGGTTTGAGCATTTAAGTCTTAAGATGCTTCCTGGTAACTCTAGATAGTAAATACTTTTCAGTAATAGAAATAGTTATCTCAAGTTTTCAACCATGTCTTTCTGACAAGCATACATTTACACCAGGTGTAGATAAAAATCTCTCTGCGGAGGAAAGGTGCTGGAATTATCAGTGAACGGAACCTGTACTTGCACATAAACAGTGAACTGTTTGTGTAATGGTAATAGATTTGTTTCCCTCAGAGGGATAAAGTCTATCAATATAACAGTGATCTTATTATGTAGCAGAGATATGAACCTGAACTCAATAAAAGAGTCACCACAAGTGGATGATATCAGGTGAGAATTGAGAATTAGGAGAAGTGTAGGACACGTTGGTTTTGTGTGATAGTATTTCTGCAAAGGAACAATATGAGAATGAGTATGCAAAAGATGTCTTTTCAATGACAAAACAGAGGTATTTTTAAAGGGAAAAGTGTGTCATTTCAAATGACGAGAGAAAGAGATAAATTATGAGGGAGAGAAAGTGAATAAAAAAAATAAAAAATGTAAATTCTACTTTTTCGTGAGAATAAAATAACACAAGTTGCGTGAACAAACACTTTTCCCATTTCTAAACGAAGAAGATTCTCCAACTATGAAAAAGAGGGAGCCGTAACCGTTGGGCTCTTATGGACCTCACTAAAAGCCTCACCTGATGCATAGGTATGTGCGCATGAAAAATAAGGGTGTAATTGTGTCACTTTAGAAATGAAGGGATATACATTCTCCAAAAAGAAGAGAGAGAATGAGATGTAGGGATATATGGTTTAGTCAGGCACATGAGAGTTGAGTATACGACGGTAAAAATATATCTTCGATTCTTTTCGGTATTATTTTTAGAATAAGTTTAGAATCTCAACATTGGACAAAATTACCTCTCGTAAAGAGAAATTTCTTCGGTAGTACGGTAGTACCGAACTTGGTACTTCCTTTTATTAAAAAAGATTTTTTTTATTTTAACTCATTTTTTTGTATAATTCCTTTTAAGTTCCAAAACCCTTTTTCATTTTAGTATGGATGTACATACATCTATTGCAGCAAAGATTTTCTTTTCGTAAAAGATACATATGATTTATAAAAAAAAAAATATAAGGATATAAACTTTTTTATGAATATGAGAAGCCGGCCTAGTAGAATGGGCATGTGTGACCGGACTAGAGCACAATAAGTTGCTTGACAAATAGAGTATAAGTTAAGTAAATTATATGTATATTTTCAAACTCTAAAGTAAAAAACTAAAGAGTATAAGTTGCAATTTACTTAATATATAAATAACATCATTAAAGTACTCACAAATTTACTTTAAAAAATAATAATAATTAGCACTTCATAATATAAAAAAACAAATATGAAGTTTTGCATGAATAATTCACTATTGTTAGGTGACCAGTGTCCAGATTGTTTTGTTTGTGTGGCCAGAGATGGCACAAGAGTCCTCCAAGTAACACCCACCTAATGATGACAAGTTGACTTCTCCCTTTTTAAGTTCCCTTGCCTACGTTTCTCAAAGCTTCCATTTCATGGTTTGCTTCATCAGGTGGCATCTATTTCTTATGTACACTACTCCACATACAATAAAATATCTCTATTTTCACCACCCTTTTCATTTCCATTTTCGAACCAAACCACAACACAGTACTAGTCATGGCTTTAGTCAACCCACCATTTCTCTCCCTCACCCCATCTTCTTATGCTTTTCCATCCAAGCACAAGTCTCCACTAGTGCTACTTTCAACTCTCTCTTCACAACCATTGTCATTTTCATGCAGGAGGAACCAGCATCACAGGTGTGGCGCCCTCAAAGCTGCACCTTTGCTTGATTACAAAGATGGGGAGGATCACAAGGTTCTTGTTGGTACTTCCATTGAGGATGAACAGAAAGATGAGAAGGTAGTTGCAGATTATGATTGGACACAAGAATGGTACCCTTTGTACCTGACTCAAGATGTGCCAGATGATGCACCCCTTGGTCTCCGAGTGTTTGACAAGCAGCTGGTGTTATTCAGAGATGGCAATGGCGAGTTTCGCTGTTATGAAGATCGGTGCCCTCATAGGTAAGTGGTTTTTTGAAGATGACCTTGTTCTTGGTTTCTGCCTCTTGTAGTTTCCAAGCTCCAATATTTTAATTGCAGTTACAAGAGGAATCTATAATTTAATTGAGCTAAAGTCACGTGCAGTTTGATTGAATGAAAGTAAAGTTGATTCTGTGCTCAATTTTTCTTAATTGGTGAAGTTTTATAGCTTAATTGCATGAATTAGTGCTCCTTTTAGGAGAGAAGAGACGGTGAATGTTGGGAATTTGCTTGGCAAGAATAAGGACTACACTGTTATTGTTGTTGTTATTGCAGACATAAGGACTTTACTGTTCTTTTCTTATCGTCCATGTCAATACAATTCATAATAAGAAGCTATTAAGAATTATAATAAATAGGAATTTTAGTCAAATCCCAAAATGAAGTGGGATGTGTTTGGCGCATTGCTTATGTGGAATTAAGGTCAGCCTGAGCCTGTTCAGGCTTAAAAACAGGTTAGAATTGATAGTTAGGAAGTGGATGTTACTCCTAATATTTGAGAAGTGTCACTTTTATCAACTTCTGTTGTTAATTTCTGCGAGGGAAGTGGCCTTGCATTTTTATTTTTATTTTAATATATCCACCAGTTCATGGATTACCCGACTAATTGACAAAATGATTGATTTAGATGCCAAATAAGATAAAAACTGTTATTAGATAAACTTAAATGTACGGTTTTTAGATTAATGGGTCTCTAGAAGTTTTATGTTTAGGAATTAATGTTGGTTAAGTGTTATGGGGGTTTGGTTTTGATATTTGTTAAATGGCTGTAAGTTTTCTACGGTTTATGTTTTATTGCGTTTAATAGCTTTTAATAGGTGTTTAAGTTATTTTTTAGCAAGCTACCATATAAGGAGATGTAATCGTCATAGAAAGTACAGAGCAAGAAAAGAGAGTTTGATAATAAAGAAAAACTTTCGTAGATTATTCGTTTGGTTGTCTCTTGCATCTGTGTGTTGATACCTTAACAAATTGGTATCAGAGCTATGGAAAGGGGGAGTGATATGGCACTACCTAAGTTGACGAAGGAGAACTACGAGAATTGGTGCATCCAGATGAAGGCTCTTCTCGGATCCCAGGACGCTTGGGAGAATGTTCAAGCAGGTTTTGTAGAACCACAGGACACTGGAGGCTATTCGGCGGCTCAAACTAAAACGTTGAAAGAGACGCGTGCAAAGGACAAGCTGGCGTTATTCATGCTCTTCCGAGCTGTGGACGAATCCGGGTTCGAGAAGATAGCAAATTGTGAGACCTCAAAGGCAGCCTGGGACACCTTGGCAAATGTCTATAGAGGAGCTGACCGGGTTAAACAAGTCCGGCTTCAAACCCTTCGTGCCGAGTTGGAGGGAATAAAGATGAAGGACACGGAAGGAGTATCCGGGTTCGTTGCCCGGGTTCAGGGAGTTGTGAACCAGTTGAAACGGAATGGAGAAGTTATACCTGACACCAGAGTGGTGGAGAAAATCCTGAGATCTTTGACAGACCAGTTCGAAAACGTGGTTTGTGCGATAGAGGAGTCCAAGGATCTGTCTACACTCACTATTGATGAGTTGGCGGGTTCTCTTGAAGCGCATGAACAAAGAAAGAAGAAGAAGGAGGAGACTCTTGAACAAGCGCTTCAGACCAAAGCAACAATTAAAGATGAGAAAGTTCTCTATTCTCAAAACTTTCGAGGTAGAGGACGTGGCCGCGGTGGACGAGGTACTAGCCGTGGTGGTAGGGGCCGAGGCCGAAGTCAAGAAGGTTGTAATGATGAGGTAGGACAATCAAGTCAACAGAACTGGCGTGGAAGAGGACGGGGTCGTCGAGGAGGTCGGTCACATTATTCAAACATTGAATGCTACAAGTGTGGCAAGTATGGTCACTATTCAAAAGATTGTAACTCGGACAAATGTTACAATTGTGGCAAGGTTGGACATTTTGCAAGAAAATGCAGAGAAGAGAAAAGGGTGGAGGAGACATCTAACCTAGCCACAGAAGGCGAGATGAAGGATGGTGTCTTGTTAATGACACACAGTGAAGGAAGGTCAGACGATGACATGGAGTGGTATCTTGACACGGGTGCGAGCAACCACATGTGCGGACATAAGCACTTATTCAAGGAGATGAGAAAGGTGGAAACCGGACATGTTTCATTCGGGGATGCCTCGAAGGTTGAGGTAAAAGGCCGAGGTACGATCTGTTTTTTACAAAAGGACGGGTTAATTGGCTCAATTCGAGATGTGTACTATGTACCCGACCTAAAAAGCAATATTTTAAGCATGGGTCAATTGATGGAGAAAGGTTACTCGGTTATTATGAAAGACCGGGTATTGTATTTGAAAGATGAGCGAGGTCGGGTGATAGTCCGAGTTCAAATGGGTAAGAATCGTATGTATAAACTGAATTTGAAATGTGTACAGGTTGAATGTTTACAAGCCGAGGTAGAAGATAAGGCGTCACTGTGGCATCTCCGGTTTGGTCACCTACATTATGGTGGTCTAACCGAGTTGGCAAAGAAAAAGATGGTGGACGGGTTACCTGACATAAACTTTGAAGGAAAATTTTGTGAGAGTTGTGTACTTGGCAAGCATGCCAGGACTACGTTTCAGAAGATGGCAAGGTTTCGGGCTAAGCAACCTCTGGAATTAATACATACCGACTTGTGTGGACCCATCAATCCGGGTTCTTTTAGCGGTAAGAAGTATTTTCTCTCTTTTATTGATGATTTCTCACGGAAAACTTGGGTCTATTTTCTGAAGGAGAAGTCTGAGGTGTTTGATGTGTTCAAAAAGTTCAAGGTGATGATTGAGAAGGCAACAGGAAGCTATATCAAATCGGTGCGTTCTGACCGAGGTGGGGAATATACCTCGACAGAATTTCTGACATTTTGTGAGGAACAGGGGATAAGGAGGTTTCTAACAGCACCATACTCACCACAACAGAACGGTGTGGCTGAAAGGAAGAACCGAACTATTCTTGACATGGTTCGGTCAATGCTCAAAAACAAGAAGATGCCGAAGGAGTTTTGGGCGGAAGCTGTGCAGTGTGCTGTGTATGTGCAGAACCGATGTCCACATTCGAGTTTAGATGACAAAACACCACAAGAAGCTTGGAGCGGTCAAAAGCCATCAGTGGAACATCTTAGAGTATTTGGTAGTGTGGCCTATGCACACGTACCAGACCAGCTCAGAACTAAGCTCGAGGACAAAAGCAGGAAATATGTTTTTGTGGGATATGATGGAAAAACAAAGGGGTATAAGCTGTTTGACCCCGTCAACGAGAAGGTTGTAGTGAGCCGAGATGTAAGGTTTAATGAAGCAAATGAGTGGGACTGGAGCAATTCATCCGAGGTGAATTTTGAAGGCAGAATCTCAACACAAATTATCAACCCGGCAAGCCCTGAAGTTTCTGATGATGAAGACGAGGTACGACAACCCAGGATGCGGAGCATACAGGACATATATGAGTCAACAAGTGAGGTACATTTTGTTTGTCTTCTTGCAGACTCTGAAAACATAAGTTTTGAAGAAGCCATCCGAGATAAGAAATGGCAAGATGCCATGGATGAGGAGATAGAAGCCATTGACCGAAATAACACATGGGAGTTAGCCGAGCTACCAAACGGAAGTCGGCCCATTGGAGTGAAGTGGGTGTTCAAGAAGAAGATGAATGCTAAAGGGGAGATAGAACGAAATAAAGCTCGGCTAGTTGCAAAAGGTTGTAAGCAGAAGGCTGGAATTGACTATGACGAGGTGTTTGCCCCTGTTACAAGGATGGAGACAATTCGGCTACTCATCTCACAGGCTGCTCAATACAGGTGGCCAATACATCAAATGGATGTAAAGTCGGCATTTCTGAATGGTGTTCTTGAAGAAGAAGTCTATGTGGAACAACCGCCGGGCTACATGAAGGCAGGAGAAGAGAAGAAGGTGCTGAGATTGAAGAAAGCACTTTACGGGTTGAAGCAAGCACCACGGGCATGGAATGCTCGTATTGACAAATATTTCAAGGAGAATGGACTTGAACAATGTCCATATGAACACGCTGTTTATGTTAAGAAAAATAGAGGAGACTTGTTAATTGTAGCTCTTTATGTTGACGATCTCATTTTTATGGGAAACAATGCCAAGATGATACAAGAGTTCAAGAGCACAATGACAAGAGAATTCGAAATGACAGATCTTGGTCTGATGAAATATTTTCTTGGTCTGGAAGTCAGACAAGACAACTCGGGTATCTTTGTCTCTCAAGAGGCATATGCAAAGGAGATTCTCAAAAGATTTAAGATGGCAGATTGCAAGCCGGTTTCAACTCCTATGGAACCCGGTTCAAAACTCTCAAAGTATGATGGTGGAGATCTAGTTGATGCAAGCAAATACAGAAGCTTGGTGGGAAGCCTACGCTATCTCACATCCACGAGGCCGGATATCTCGTTGAGTGTCGGCATAGTAAGTCGGTTCGTGGAGGAGCCAAGATACACACATTGGAAGGCGGTAAAGAGAATTTTGAGGTATGTTCAAGGTACAATTTCACACGGGTTACACTACCCGAGTTCAGCAAAACACAAGTTGATTGGATACTCTGACAGTGATTGGTGTGGAGACGTAGATGATCGAAAGAGCACGGCTGGTTATGTGTTTTTCATGGGCAACACGGCATTCACTTGGATTTCGAAGAAGCAACCCATTGTAACCTTGTCTACCTGTGAAGCTGAATATGTAGCAGCATCTTGGTGTGTTTGTCATGCAGTATGGCTTAGGAATTTACTAAGCAAGTTGGAGGAAAAACAAGTCGGCCCAACCGAGATTCGAGTTGATAACAAGTCGGCTATAGAGTTAGCCAAGAACCCGGTGAATCATGAGAGAAGCAAGCATATTGACGTCCGATTTCACTTCATCCGGGATCAAGTAAAGGAAGGAAATGTGGAGTTAACACACGTGACCAGTCAAGAGCAAGTCGGGGACATTTTCACAAAGCCACTGCCGACGTTGCTGCTCAACAATTGCAAGAAGATGCTTGGGATGAAAGATGGAAGAAGCATTTAAGTTTATGGAGGAGTGTTATTAGATAAACTTAAATGTACGGTTTTTAGATTAATGGGTCTCTAGAAGTTTTATGTTTAGGAATTAATGTTGGTTAAGTGTTATGGGGGTTTGGTTTTGATATTTGTTAAATGGCTGTAAGTTTTCTACGGTTTATGTTTTATTGCGTTTAATAGCTTTTAATAGGTGTTTAAGTTATTTTTTAGCAAGCTACCATATAAGGAGATGTAATCGTCATAGAAAGTACAGAGCAAGAAAAGAGAGTTTGATAATAAAGAAAAACTTTCGTAGATTATTCGTTTGGTTGTCTCTTGCATCTGTGTGTTGATACCTTAACAAAAACACCCTGCAATTTTGCTATTTGTTAAATACTGATTCCATATTTGTCATGATGCTGGACCTTATCTTTTGTTTGATTCAGGTTAGCAAAATTATCAGAAGGCCAGTTGATTGATGGAAGGCTTGAGTGCCTATACCATGGATGGCAATTCGAAGGCGAGGGCAAATGTGTGAAGATACCTCAGGTTGGTTACAGAATGTCCTTGGCTAAATCAATGCATATATAATTGCTTCTTAGATTAATGCAAGACTATGTTAATCATTATTTTTCTGTTTCCTAAAGCTTCCAACTGATGCCAAAATTCCTAGATCAGCCTGTGTTAAAACATATGAGGTGAGGGACTCCCAAGGAGTTGTTTGGGTATGGATGTCTCCAAAGACAACTCCAAATGTTAATAAACTACCTTGGTTTGAGAACTTTGCAAGGCCAGGGTTCCAAGATGTTTCAACAATTCATGAACTCCCATATGATCACTCTATTCTTCTGGAAAACCTGATGGATCCTGCTCATCTCCCAATCTCACATGATAGAACAGATTGGAGTGCAAGAAGGGAGGATGCACAGCCACTTTGTTTTGAGGTGACTGAACGAACTGATAGAGGTTTTGCTGGTTTGTGGGGCAGAGAGAAAGATGACTCTATGCCTAACTTCTTACGGTTTGAAGCTCCTTGTGTTCTCCAAAACAACAGAGAAATTATTGATAATAATGGTGAAAAAAACCACTTCTCTGGTCTGTTCCTTTGTAGGCCAACTGGGCAAGGGAAATCCATGTTGATAGTGAGGTTTGGAGGAACAAAAAGTTATCCACTAGCAAAGCTGTTCCCTGAATGGTATCTCCATCAAAATGCAAGCAAAGTTTTTGAGCAAGACATGGGGTTCTTAGCATCCCAAAATGAAACTTTGATGAAAGAGAAGGTCCCCACAAAGGAACTATACCTTAATTTAAGGTCATCAGACACATGGGTTGCTGAATACAGGAAGTGGATGGACAAAGTGGGGCATGGGATGCCTTATCATTTTGGTCACAGCACAATTTCCTTGCCCAAAGAGCCTGCTGTGGTTGAGCATGCACCTGCTGGACTCATTGCAGGAATCTCAGCTGCTTCACCTGCTAAGGGAGGCATTGGAGCAATGCATGCCCCTAATTTAGCCAATAGATATTTTAGGCATGTAGTACATTGTAAAGGATGTAGAACTGCAGTTAAAGGTTTCCAAGTTTGGAAAAATGCACTTTCAGCTGTGGCTGTTGCAATGGCTGCATTGGCAATTTTGGCATCTGGGAGACATTGGAAAGCACTTTTGTTGGTATCTGCTTCACTGTGCTCGGTTGGAGTTTATGCATGCTCAATGGCCATAGCAATGAATACATCAAACTTTATTAGGACTCATAGGAGATTGTGAACTGTGAGATGTGAAAAATAGTTATATACATACGAATACTTTGTTTGTCTAATGATAATAGTTACTGACATCTTATCATCATATGTCATGATAAAGGATTAGAACACACACCCCCACTAAGTCACTAGGTGAGGGGTGTGTTCTAATCCTTCCTCATCTATCAAAATAAAAAATAAAAAAATAACACATATTTCCTAACACATTTATTCACACTCTTCACCGTTAGGTTAACTTTATTAGTGACTTTTTTTTGTACTAATATAGACAAACAAGGAAAAGAGGAGTAACTCTTCTTATTAATATGATGGGGAGAGCATGGTATGTCAAATAAACCATGAAATGTTTTTAGAGAGATAAAATAATGCAATTAAAATACAAAATTATTTGATCATATGTAAGTTTGTGGTAAAAAAAATGCAAGTTTTTGTATTTCTTACTTCAATGTTTGAAAACCTCTCATCAATCAAATAAAAAAAGGATGAATTTTGAACTTGGTAATAATTATCTCAAAATAAGATTCTTTCATAGATTTAAAATCTTGGTTTTTTTGGCAAATGATTGTAAGAACTTTGAAATAATTTTTTTTACAAAATTAAAAGAAAAAGAGTAAAGAAATGGCTACGAAGGACATATATTTTAAAATTATCCGATATATATTGTTTTAATACTTTTTAGATATTTGAAAACATTTCTCTCCAATATTATTTAATTAACTTTAACTTTTATATCAATCAAAGTAAAATTTTAATATAATTAGATATATTAATATTTTTATAGCCATTAATTATTTTTTATTTAAATTTAATATTTTTATATTAATATTGTGTTATATAATTTTTAAAAGGAAAAAATATTTTTATTTCTGCAAAAAAAAAGAAAAAGAAAAATTCTCCTACCTCTACTCACGAAATAAAAACATTAAATTATTTTAAAAATTTACGCCAGTGTTGTGGACGTGCAAATAAACTTTAAAAAAAATGTTTACCCAAAAAAAAAAATCCTTTTGTTTTGGCTCCTATAAATTCAAATGATCAAATGCATGCGTTTGGTGTTGTAGTTTGAAGTTTGAACATTCGAGTCCACAACTCAGCACTGCAGTGTGAAGCGAGAAGAAAGTGAAAATGGGGCATCAATACCATCAAGCAACGGACGGGCTTCTGAACCTTTTCACAAAAGCCAATCACGATCTTTCTATGGTTCATCACCGTCTCGAAAAGGAATTTCAACATGTTTACCCTGACAATGTAAGCATAGCATAGCAAAAAAAACCCCATTACAGTTTTCACCTTTTTCCATGTACCTTAATCTATGTTTCTTTGATTTTCTAGCAAAACCAATAATGGGCACTAGCGTAAGCCTCCCAAGTTTGTACCTTTATGCTTAAAACTGAATTGGGTTTCTGCAGGCAAACCCTATGAAGCTGGTTTCTAGGATAAAAAAGATACAGGATGATATATCAACCTTGAAGGGGCAGTGCCATGAGCTTCTGGCTGCCAAGCAGGTACTTTTATGCATTCTGCTGGTTTTTTTTTTTTTTTTTTTTTCTGTAGAATTGGAATGCTACAAGGTGTATTTTATAAATAGTAATGTATATGTGTGCATGTAAGATAGGAATAAGACCCATGTTTTGAAGTTAATGTTGCTTGTTCACTTGTGTAGGATTTGATTGATAAGGCTCAGAGAAATCTTGTTGAGAACAGACATTTAGTGCAGCGTATGCAAGCATCCATGGGCATGCCCCTCACTGGTGAAGATGATGCTGCATTCACTAACTTTAAACAGGTAATTATATGTGTGTGAGTGTGTGTGTTTTATTGATTTTATTGTTGTTACTTTTTTTTTTAAACAAAGAGTTAGTCCTTCAATGTTTTTAAACAGATGAAATGATGAAATTTCCTATAGTTGGATGTATGTTCTTTCCTGGTCCCTTTGCTCAGTCATGAGTTACTGAGAAGTGCATAATTGTTCATGTGGCCTCTCAACAGGAGTTTTAGTGTGTTTTGGTTGAGCGTTTGCAAACTTGATTTTGGTTAAAAGTGAGTTTGAAGCAAAGTGATTTATGTTTAGAAACTTAAAAGTAAGTCTGGTAAAAGTTAGTATGAAATTATCAACCCAATGCCAAAGTTTTATTATTTTATTTTTTTTACCTTTAGTCAAACTTGCGTCTAGGAGTAAAATCAATTTTGGTTTGAGACAACCAAACATACTTACCTCAAACCTACATTTGAGGCGCTTCATCGCAAATCCAAATATAGGCTTAGTTGTTCAAAATATTAAGGTTTTGATTTTGTGGGAAAATAAAAAATTATCATTCAAAAGCCAAAATGTAGTCTCTTCCATTTTGGACAAAGCATAGGCGAGCATGACGGTAATTTATGCATCTATATTTTGCTTCTCAAGGTTGCCTATTTTCCAAGTGGTGTTTCAAGTGTTTTCACCGTTTGCCAGCAAGCAACCAATATAAATGAAACATGGGGCTTTGCCTACTAGTATTTACCCAAGCAAGGATGTCCTTGGGTAGCTTTAATGTTGCTTTGCCTACATAGCTAAGGGTCTTCTTGGCTGAGTTGGCGGAAAACGGGAAGGTAGAAAATAGAGGATGAAGTAAAATGATTTCAAAAAGTTGAGAAGAATACTGTATGTTTTCCATCTTATCATATTTCTGTTATACCAATCAGGTGTAAAGTGTTTTTCATCCCAAATTTTGTACCTCCACTTTTCACTTACCAAATAAAACCTAAGTATAGTTGCAATGATTTTTACACAATTTTAACTGATTATGCAGATAATTGAAGAATGGACAGTACAATTAAGATCCAAAACAGGTAAGGAGTTTCAAGGATTTTCTGTTTTGACAATTTTCCACGCATTAAGTTTGACAAACTTATTTTATATTGATATGTACATCATTATTCTTGGAGTACCAAAATTTAATGGTTGTCAAAACACAGGTTTGGATTGAATGTGTTATATATGTATTTTATGCAAAATTATTGAGAAAGATGACAAGCAATTGTGGTATAGATCGATATTACTATCTTAGAATTGGGGGTTTGTTATTCATGACTCTAGTTAGTAGTTAGTCTATTTACATCCTTTCTAATCTCCTTTATCAATTGTTTTTCTTCATTGATTTGAATTTCCCAATAGATGCATTAGTTAGTTAGTTGGTCTGGATGAGCACCTAGGGCTTGATGTGTGGTAAAGAGAGGGGAATGAAATTGGTATAGACTTCTTCTGTGAAGAGTACAAAAACTAAAAAGGGGGATGAGTAGGGCACGGGGCTTTGGGTTGAGTGAATTGTTGAGTCTCCCTCTCAATAGTACCAAGGTTTGTGAGACAGTTGTTCTTGAGCCTAGGAAGGAACAGTTTGACCTTGCTGATGTTCTCCAAGTGGAGCAAGTAGAGAAAGGGTAATAGATCAAAGAAGAAACTGGAGTATTATTCTCAATGAATCAGAATGAACACATTGGCACAATTGTGAAGAACCAATTCTCCTAAAATCTTAAGCTGATAGGTGAAGGTTCATGATTGGCTTTGTATCTAACATGCTCCCTCTTGCAAGAATTCTTTGGGAAGCATAAACAATGCACAAGCCCATCATACCTTGTGCTAAAATTTAACTTTTTATTTATAAAAATGGAGATGGCAAGGATCAAAAACCTGACTTTGATACTATGTCATAAATCAATTTTTCGAAAAGCTTAAACTGTTAGGTGAAGGCTCATGTTTGATTTTACATCTAACAATAATGAAAAATAACTAAGCTATTTCTTCCATTGAGTGTAGGGATAGTGGGTCCTCAGTTCACTATTATTCCTTTTTTGATTTATACAACGGAGCTACTGGTCTATTTATATTTTGAACATGAGTGACACGGCTTTATCGCCTACAGTTCCTATCTGTACAATCCATGCTATTTTGTGTTGTTAAAGATGGATATTACTGTTGACACCTCAGTCCAACCAGCTCATCTTGTTGCAAGTTTTTTAATGCCTTAACTGCATAAATCACATGCTCAGGATGGTGCACCTCTCATCTGTTTCCCTAGCATGGCTGTTCCATTTGTATCAATCACCTTGTCCTCAGTGTTGATGTTAGGAAAGGCTGTAATTGCCTCTGTCCAGCATTCCAAAGTGACTTCCTCTTGTGGCATACCTTGCCATTCCATGAAACTTGCTTAACTAGTTTCCATCCTCCTGTATCTAGTACCTTTGGTCAATTATAGCATGTGGGGTCATGTGTGTAGAGAGGGGCTCTTCTGGTGGGGATGTCGCTATTGCAAACTCTGGTCCTTGAAAATCCTTTAGCAAGGAAGCATTGAATACCCCATGAATCGAGTCTCCTAGAAATTCTACGGTGATTGCTGCTTTGTACGAGTGCTATTCAGCAAAACCAAGTCTCCCCTTATTTTCATTTGAGACTGTGCCTTCTGTCTATTTTGTCTCTATTGCTTCTGTAATTCTGCCCTTGTATGTAAGATGGATTCCACCTCTGCCATTACTGATGTGCCTGGAATATAGCCAGGCAACGGCTGTGAGTCCTTGGATGTCTTCTCTTGCCTAATTAGGTTTCATGTCAATGGAGGATTGGTAGGTGATATTGTAGCAGAATTTTGCCCACACCAAGTAGTGGTACCAATATACCATTGATGGGGCTGGTGGAATGTGAAAGCTCTTAATTACTGTTCAAGGCAATGATTAACCACCTTCATCTGGCAATCACTTTGGGAGTGATAGGCTGAGCTACAAATTGACCTGCCAGTGGAAGTGCCTAAGTTCCTATGTTCCTATCTGTACAATCCATGCTACTTATGGTTGTGTTATTAAGACAGTTATAACAGTTGCCACCATACTTCTGCCAGCTCATCTTGCTGCAACTTTTTTAACTCCTTAACTGCAGAATTTGGGTGCCCAGAATGGGGCGCCTCTCATTCTTTATCAGTGTTATCTTAGATAATAACCATGCATGGCACAGCTTTAATTCAGGAATGCAGTAAATAAATGTCTCTGTGAATATGTGTTGATGCAGGGGATGAAACACATGATTCTGACTCTGGAGATCTCAACAAACTGCTCTTCTCAGCTATAGTTCAAAGCAATTGAACTGCTTCCAAAAGATCGTGGATGTCGCAGTTTTATGTCAAGCTTCGAGGGTTATCACAAATGATCTATACTATAGACATGTATTGTACTCTGCTTCCTATTGGTTATTCTTGTATTAAGATGTAGATGTTCTGATTCGTTCTCTAAACAGGTTTGGTTCTATTGTCGGAGAGGCTACCAGAAAACAAAATTTATTTTACTTAAAATGTAAAGAAATGGAATTGTGTACACAGAAACAATGATAGTTGCAAAAAGCAATGTGGTGCTTGCATAACCTTATGAGCTAGACACATGTACATGCAGAACATCCATAATCTGCGTAACAAGTTGAAAAAGTATTTCAGGGAAACTGATTCTAATTTCTAATCACATTGCATGACTAAAACAACCTTCAGAACTATCCATCAGTGCCAATTGGATTAGGCTTGCCTAAGCGTTTGCATGTTGAAAGAAAATAGCAATCCTGTATCAAAAGTTTCAACTGTGTTCCATGTTGCATTTTGTAAAGTCTTTGACACAAGTACATATAAAATAAATGTCAGCGTTATTAAAACACAAGCAGCTGAACTGAACAATATTGTTCGCTGTACAAGTAATCTACTGTTCAAGCCATTGCTGCATATTTCTTCAGTTGGCCATCAACTCTTCCCCACCCGAAACATAGACACATGTAAATTGAGGTAGGTGTTGCTTCAATATCTCACAACTTAAAAAGCCGTTAATTATATTTTGTTACTTTGAAGTAGGAGGTTCTTCCAACCACTTTGCACGAAAGCCTGTTCCTTGACAATCAGAGCAGCAAATTGAACCCTGAAAAATAACAAATTTGTGGCACAGTAAGTCTCTTCTAAACTGATACTGAGGATGTAAACAGTGAAGTGTATTAGGGAGGACAACAGTATTGGTGGATTCAGATTAATATTTCATCATAAAGGTACCTTTCCATTGCAAATAATACAGCTAGTGTTTTTGGATGGAACTTCACAGAGCATGTTGTCACCAATAATGAAGAAACCACTACCCCCACACCATTTGCATTCAGTATGCCCTTTTGAGTTGCAAGATGAACAGACAATTGGTCTTGGTTGCTGCAAGCATAATGAACAGTGGAGAAATCAATGATGGGGCTATCAGAATGTAATTATATTACTACAAAATGTTTATATGGTTTTGTTTTTACTTGGATGGACAATGAGAAAACATCTTATAATACAAAATATAGCACTTAAGCATCTAGGTTTTTAAGGGTCTAAAACCATCTAATAATGAGAATAACAAGTAACTAATATAAAATTGAGTGAGAAAGAGATGGACCTTGGAGATTAACCAGGCTTGTTCCATGCGCTTAACAAAATCAGAGGAAGAGTCCACCATAGAAGCCCGGACCTGGATGCTAGAAATCCTATTGCATGGCCTTGCATTACAGGGCACAATAATAAATTTAATACCAATTGGTGATATGAACCTATTACTGTGCATTGTTTTTGATATGAGCGCAGACCCACTACTACTACAATACACACAGCTCATCGTTTTCTTCTTCTTGTTGGAGAGATGTAGAAGATTACAAGGAGTGTTTCAATTTTCACTTAGATATTGAAATACCGGGTCATGGTTTTTGGTTTCATGTGGCGCAAAGGCAACTAAAAACCCATTGGTTAACGAGAGAGGTGAGAGAAAGATATACTCAACACCATAGACAAGTTATTATAATGTTTGTAGTTTGGACCCACCCAAAAATATCATTCATGCCTTGCCAATTTGCCCTATTCTTAATCTTGTGGAAAATGAGAACCCATTAAACGTTTAGATGTAATAACTAATAAGGTTAATATATAAAATCATTTTTAATATAATTATTTATAGGTTTAATAATATTAAAGAATTACATAAAATTTGCTGGAAAAAATAGAAACACATGTGGGCAATGATTAATTTACTCATCTCAATAATAAGTCTTACACCTAATTTAAGCACTTGATTTCACTTGCATCTAATGAGTTTAATTTATTTATTTTTTTATAATAATTTTTACATATAAGTGTAATTAACGATTAAAATTGAATATTTGTTCTACCCAATATAATATGGGAAAATTATTCTCTACTCACTGGAAATAAAGTTATCTCCAGTGAGTCCAAAACGATGTCGTTTTATGGTTGTAAGATTAAAAGATTATAATGATAAAGACTAATATAACTCTGCAATAAATTAGAATTAAAAAAATATCTTAATTTTTGTCATAAAATGACATTGTTTTTGACTCAACAGAGATAATTCATCTCTATTGACCGGAAAAATCCTTTTCATGTATAATAGTTAGGGAAATACAACAATAATGTTGTAGGATAAAGTAAAAAATTCCGGCAGACACAATAATGAAGACAGAGAAAATGAAATGAGGAGTGAGAAAAATAAACTGGTGGACCCCACCAGTTTATTGTGTCAGTAGGAAACGTTATTTTTGTCCTGTTATGCATAAAGCCCTAATATTTATGGAAAATATTTTTCTCATTTGGTTGGAGATAGTTATCTCATGTTATACACTCATTGAATTTTGTGCCAACTTTTTTCATTTTTTTTTAAAGTGTGGACCACATATATTTATCTTACACACATAAAAGAACTATCTCAAGCAACATAAGATTGGTAACTCTCAATATTTATGGAATAAAGAAAGAAACTTGAATGCGTAGAGTAGCCATTGGTTTCTTTCAGACTGTGCCCAACTGCAATTGGGTTTGGTTTTAGAAAAATTATTGGGTTTGGGTCAGAGACCAAGTGTGGCTCAATCTACGTTAGAAGATAGCTCTTTTTTGGTCACTTAGCTACGCCGATACTTTTGTGTAAAATTATTGGGCTGAATGGGCCTTATGATTTTATCTGGACTCAAAAGGTTCAACCTTCTCCGTTCCCATAACCAATCAATACAGTAGACATAGGAGCTAGAAAGGTCTTCTCTTACCAAATCCTTTGGGCCAAGGCCCAAGAAGCGGCTGAGCAATACAATCACCTTGTGGGTGAATTGGATTCATAAGCATATTCCCTTTCACTATTAGATTCGGAAGGAATATAAAATGAAGAATAGATTAAAAAGTAGTAAAATAACCATTTTTTTTATAAAGTATTAGTAGTTTTAGGTGATAGATTAGTGAAAATAAATGAATAAGAATAAACATTTTTGTTGGTGAAATAAGAATAAATATTTAAATGGTTTCATATTTTTACTTTTGTAGCAGAAAAATTTCTCTACCATATTTATATAAAAGTGAGTAAGTCCTATTGTAAAGAGAGGAGAGAAATTTTTGTAGTGGAATACATTCACTTCTATGTAAGTATGACAGAGAAGTTTTTTCTGCAGTAACAACATAATTTTTTTGATATTTGAAATAGGATTTTTAAATTGAAATGAATAATTTAAATTAGAAAAGAAAATTTTAAAACAAAATTATGTGAATAAATACATTATTAACATTGGAATTTATTATTCTTAAGTTACATAAGAAAGAATTTATCTTCTACACATACAAATTTAAAATGTGTTCTATCTACTATATTTTTTTTTCTCTTCCCATGAAAAAAAACTCTACCTACATAAATGAATCTGTGGGAGACTGCATGAGAAAACTATTACTAGGACAAAAGTAGAAGTGTGATATTGCTCCTCTTCACAATCTCATGCGATGGATTAATCGTCCAGGGCGGCTAGTGCTAAAAATTAAGAAGCCCGCAAATTGAGAATATCCTTGGGTTTGTTGATATTCTTTTATTGTAAACGTAAATGCATGATATTCACATTTTTGGGTGGTGAGTGGCAATGTGCGAACTTGGAATATTTTGGTGGACTCTTCCAAATTGCAATGCCAATAGAATGAGGTTCTATTGGCCGGCAATTGGATCATGGGTAATGACTCCTTCCTTGCATTATGCATAGTGCTATTGCATACGAATCACATGGCCATTGTCATGGACAAACTTCTAGTACTTAATCTAATATTCATCTATAGAAAGAGCATTACAAGCACGTGTTTGGATGGTCGGAATATAGAAAAAGATGACCAGGCATATTGTTGTGAATAATAAGATAATCAAATCCTTTTAGTAAATCATTTTCTTTTCGTTCATATTTAGAATTGTGACTTTGTAAACTCAATTTGACAAACGAGTATGCTTGTGAATGTTTTTAACATTTTTTTGTTGGGTTTAATGTTTCTACTGTGAATGTGGATAAGTTATCTATATTTTCTCTTAAAACGATGTTGTTTTGGGTTGAATAATTAAAACGACTATTATAACCTTGAAATAAATTATAATTATAAAAATATCTCGATTTTCGCTTCAAAACAATATCGTATTGGGCTCAATGTAGATAACTATCTACATTGATTATAGAAAAAACGAACCCTTTTTGTTTTACTAAAATTGTTTTTAACAAATGTTAGACTTACGATAATAATAAGGTCAGGGTATTTAGTTTTTTTTTTATTAAATTATAGTCAGGTAATATTCGAATACCTTGCACATATTTTAATTAATTCATTTCTCTAATAAAAAAATATATTATATTTATGTTGAAATTAGGGAATCAATAAGAACTTTTGTTTTTGGGGTAATTTGGCCTCAAATAATTATTTTAGGTAGAAATAAAACTTGCAATTGTATTTCTATCTATTCATCGCACGCTGATTCACCAATAAATTAACCCTCTGAATTTTTTCTTGACGTAATTATGTAAAGGAAAGAGAGATAAATAACTTTATAATATACCAAGTAGGGGTGTTGATCAACCGATCTAAACCGATTCAAATGCGGTGACCGAACCGAAAAACCGATAACTGAATAAATCGAAAATCAAAAAACTGAAAACTGAATAAAAATCGCAAATTTTAATTGGATTGGATCGGTTTTTGGATTGGTAGATGAAAACCGATCGAATATATTAATTTTTCTCTATCTACTTGAGTTTTTCCTTAATCATAGCCCAAAAATTTCTAAATCCAAGACCCATTAACCCATCACTTAAACTAAAAAAAAAATCTAGTCATATCTTATAAACAAAATTTCATCTATCTCATACTCAAAAAAAAAAAACTATATTATCTGATGCTTTTGTATTTAAAAAAAATATATTATAAAGCCAATTACATAAAAGATATTATTTGCACAATAATCATGAAATAAATTTTAAGATTTTCAAAAAATCGAAAATCGATCCAATCCAAACTGAAAAAAATTTAATTGGATCGGATCAGATTTGAAAAAAAATCCAAACCGAATGGATGATTACATAATCAAATCGAATGGATTGAATCGAATAATTTTTACTTCCAAAACCAATCCAACCAAGACCGCGAAACATTTACTTGTATTGGACTTTCCTCAATGCGAAAGGACCTTTAGAAGAAAAAAAAATTCAACTATTTTACTTTCATTCAAGAATGTAGAAACGTGTATCACTTTGAACTCTAGTCAAACAAATTTCATCAAACCTCGTACCGCGTGGAAGAAAGAAAGTGTCCAAGTTTTTTTTTTTTTTTTTATTTACAAAAAAAAAAAAAAAAAACCTTGAAAGCTTAGAGTTGATGTATATTGAACTTTCACTTGCCATATTATTTTGGGGTTGACTTAGCATCTGACGTGGCAATGACCTACTGGTTGACTTGATCCAAGTAGGACGGTGATAGGGCTTGGAAACCCTTGGCCGGTGTCACACGGTGAATTCTAAGGGGAAGCAAGCAAAACCCAATCCAGTTAAAGCAACAACATAACATAACATAACACAAGACAACACTACCGTAACCTTAAACAATAAACAACCTCTTTTTTCTCCTAAGCAACAACATAAATGTATTAATATTAATAATAGATACAGAGAGAAAAACTAAGAGAGAGAGAGAGAGAGTCATGCATAACCCCACGAGTGTTAGCCAAGAACCCAGTTCAGTAGTCCTCGATTTTTCATCCCAATTCGGTCGCTTTGTGTTGGATTCGTCGTATCTGAACTTGGGCTCTGACTCATGCTCTTCGGTTCTCTCCAATTTCTCGTCTTTCAACAACGGTGCACGTTGTGGAGGTAGAAAGCGCAGTGCTTCATTGAGTTTGGGGGTTGGAGGTGGGGGTTTCCGATTCAGGAACATTCTTAATGACTTCAACAGGTTCGTTAGATTCCACTGCGAAAAAATCCCAATTGGGTTTGCTTCGTTGCGCGTTGGTAATGGAAACAGTGATAATGGTAATGGGGTCAGAGAAGATGGGTGTGCTGTTCTCGAAGACGAGAGGTTGCCATTGAATGGTTCTGAGGCTGAGAACCCTAAAAAGGTTCTGATTTTGATGAGTGACACTGGCGGTGGCCATCGAGCTTCCGCAGAAGCCATCAAAGCTGCTTTCTATGAAGAATTTGGCGATGATTACCAAGTTCGTTTTTCCTCTTTTTTTTTTTTTAATTTAATCTAATGAGCATAATAAAAGAATATACTTTTTTTTGACTTAGTCTCTATTGTCCCTAAAAAGGACCAACTTGATACTTTTAGTTTTGTAAATTTGATGATTGATTAGTCAGGACTAAACTGCTAGTGAATGATAATTTTAGGACTGATTTGCCTATTTACTTGTTTAAGGTGATGGAAAGTTATAGCAAGTCCAATGAATGGGTGTGTGAAATATATGCCCTTTTCTTTTGGGTTGTGTTGTTCTCAGTATGGAGTTCATGGTGCAGGTGTTTGTTACTGATCTGTGGGCTGATCACACGCCTTGGCCGTTCAATCAACTTCCCAGGAGCTATAGCTTTTTGGTGAAACATGGGCCATTGTGGAAGATGACGTACTATGGAACTGCCCCGCGTGTAGTGCATCAGTCTAATTTTGCTGCCACTTCAACATTCATAGCTCGGTGAGGATTTGGTTGCCTTCACATAACAATTTCTACTCTTTTATCTTGTCAAACTACTTTGATCAATGAGATGAGAAAAAACAAATGCATTCATACATGCCATTGCAATTAACTGATAGGTTTGTGAAATGATGCATAAGTGAAAGTCCAGGCATGTACTGGTCTAGCATTTTCCCTGTCTTTCAAGTTGAAACTTTCCTTTTGGTCATTAAAGAATAAATAAGTTATATCAGAATAGTTTCGTTGTTTTATGTACTGGATTTCTAGTTGTGGGAATAAATTGTTTGCTTTTGGATAACTTGATTCATTACAATAAAGAAGATATCATAGTGATTCGGAAACATTTCAGCGTGGTTCTGGTTTGATATTTGTGTGTTACAAATATCAAGTGATATTCGGGAACAATTGCCCTCTCATTGCAGTTTGCAATGTTTATGGTGCGTTGTGTTAATATTACACCGAAGTTATTGACATTTGCTGTTGTCCATGCAGAAATCTTTAGTTATAGAATCTATTTTCTTGTTCATATTTAGCTCTTCTCAAATACGGTATAATATCACTTGTTAGTTGAAAGATCCCATCTTTTTTATTTTTTAAACAGTGAGGTTGCAAAAGGACTAATGAAATATCAGCCAGATATAATAATCAGTGTGCATCCCCTGATGCAACATGTTCCACTTCGTATTTTGAGGTCAAAGGGTCTTTTAAAGAAGATTGTTTTTACCACAGTTGTCACAGATTTAAGCACATGTCATCCAACATGGTTAGTTGTGCTTTTTTGCTATTATCTTTTCAGAAATCATATCAATAGTCTGGTTTTGACATCTTATTTCTTGTATTTTTTAGGTTTCATAAGCTTGTAACTAGATGCTATTGTCCAACAACTGATGTTGCAAAAAGGGCACTGAAAGCTGGACTCCAGCAATCCCAAATAAAGATTTATGGTCTACCTGTCCGACCTTCCTTTGTTAAGCGTGTTCGGCCAAAGGTATGTCATATTCTTGTAGCTATGACTTGAATTGGATGGCTTGTTTTCTTACAATTCTCTAATTGGAATACAGTATTCAGTGAAATAACCTTCACTGGATTGTTTGATACAGTGAGATAGGATGATAGAAATTATCCAGTCTCAATTAGGAGTCTGGTAATTTAAGTTGTTAGGTTTTTGAATTTATTGGCAGTAAATTATAGCCATTTCAATGACACCTTACCAATGCTGAATTGTGCAAAGGTTTTTTCTTGTCAATTACAATTGCTGGCATTATTTAGCACATTATTTAGCACTTACTTCAGACTAAGTGATGCATACGCAGGCATGTATTTCACTTACTTTGAAGGTATAAATTTGGATCTGAACTGTAGTATCACTATTATTCCTTTCAATCTAACCATACTGATCAACACACTATGTGACTATATATGTTTGATTGGTGTCGAGTTTCAATGAATTATTCGAGTGTAAATGTTTTAAATTGGATTATTATACTTATCTTTTTTGTTCTTATCTATATCCCTATACCGTTCTTTGTGTTAGAAATAACACAACTACTCTACTTTATATACAGATCCTACATAAGTCCGCTTGAAAATAAAAAAGTAAGGGAGCTAGTTGTAATTTATCATACAAGAAGGGTGCTAATGTAATAACTAATAACTAATAAGCACTAACCTCAAGGGAGGTTAGTGTAATTAAACCCTTAAAATTTAACTCACAAGAAAAGCTACATAATTATTACTTGATTTGCTATTTGATTTTCTTAATTACCTCAGTTAATATTCACTTTGTCGGGCTTCTCTTATTTATGCAATAGGATGAACTAAGGAGAGAATTAGGGATGGATGAGGATCTTCCTGCTGTATTATTGATGGGTGGAGGTGAAGGTATGGGCCCCATTGAGGCTACTGCTCGGGCACTTGGAGATTTATTAAACGATGAGAATCTTGGGGCTCCAATAGGTCAAGTCCTTGTGATCTGTGGTCGCAATAAGAAGCTTGCTGACAAACTAAATTCTATTAATTGGAAGATTCCAGTGCAGGTATTGATACCCTTAAAATCTTTCCAGATCCTTGTTCATGCTTTCTGAACTCCATATAAATTATAATATGTATGTTTTGTGGGTGCCATTGCACTCCCTCGCTTCCTGTCTGTGTTTGCTCCTATATATGCTTAAATTTTAAGTCTACGAGTAGTCCATGGTGACTGATTTGTTCTAGTGTCTGCATGTTCTTTTACTTGATGAACTAGGTATCTAGCCATAGGACCAGATTCCTAGTATGTTATCACATGTTCGAACTTTTGAGGTATACTTGAGAGGAAAAAAATTTCATGGTGCAATTGAATATTAGAAGAAATTGTCCCAATTAAGAGAGAAAGAATTCAAGTTAGAAAATGGAACAAATTAGTGAACCCCCATAATTAAAGATGTGATGATGAAAGTTTAATTATAATTTGTGAGCGCAGAAATTATTTCTAATTTGATTGATTGTGGAAAGAAATTTTCTGTGTAGGATTCCATCAAATTTGGGTGAGGGAAATCAAACCAAATTATTTGGGGCAGAGGTTTCTGCAATGGATTTGTCTATTATCTAATATGTCAGACTCACTCAAGTTTAGCACACTGATTAAATTAATTTAAAATATTAGTTTTTCTTTCCATATGAGTTAAGGAAGAAGAGGTCAGAAACTTCCATATTAAATTTCTTGTTTCGGGTGGGTAACGTATCAATAAGTAGATGAACATAGCAATTAGTATCGCATGTATGTCCATGGAAGCCCTGAATTATTTTATTTTTCCCCATATTTAGGTCAAGGGATTTGTTACCAAAATGGAGGAATGCATGGGAGCTTGTGATTGCATCATTACTAAGGTTTGATCTCTTGGTCATTACTTATATTTTCCTACCTCATTATGACAGCAATTGATGGTTTTTCCCCTTTGTAGGCAGGCCCAGGGACGATTGCTGAGGCCATGATCCGAGGCCTCCCTATTATTTTGAATGATTACATTGCAGGACAGGTATTGTAGTTCTGGCTATAATTCCTTAACCTTGTGATTAATTTTTCTTTTCTTTTTTTAAAAAAATCCATGTGACTAAATAATGTCATGGGATAAAAGTATATTTGAGGCTGAGTTCTGAAACTTTAGTGGAAAATTTGAGCTATTAGAAATTAGTAGAATGACCCCACAAAGTAGTAGCTAAGTTGAAATAAATAAAGAGATGGATGTAATCATTCTCAAAGTAGGACTGCAGTGATATAAGTGCTTGTTTAAATTGTTCTATCATGCATACTTTTAGTAGCTATGCTATTGTGAAATCTAGTTATAGTTAGTTTTGAATGTGGTGACTGGGAGGCTACAATCACATTGAAATATTTGTCACTGAGTCTCACCTTCTCATATACATGATAAAAAAATGGTGAACTCACAGAAGTTCCTTTCATTTCATTTTAGGAAGCTGGCAATGTCCCTTATGTAGTTGAAAATGGATGTGGGAAATTCTCTAAATCACCTAAGGAGATAGCAAAAATTGTTGCGGATTGGTTTGGTCCAAGGGCTGATGAACTGAAAGGAATGTCACAAAATGCATTGAGGCTAGCAAGGCCAGATGCTGTGTTCAAGATTGTTCATGACCTTCATGAGCTTGTAAGACAAAGAAGCTTCTTACCAGAGTATTCTTGTACAGCTTAACTGACAGTGAGGCTATTTTTTTGTACGCGTCTTATGAGGAATTGTATAAGGCAGCGAAGATGTATCACTAGCAAAATATGTGTATGTTTTTCCACAATTTTCATATAATTATTCGGATTCTCTTTTGAAATTAATATAGTTTTGGCTGTTTCATGCTTAGGACACTTTGTTCTCTTATAATTTCTGTTCATGTTAGAAAAACATATATTTACAAGTCTGGCAAGGTTTGAATATGAAACTTTCATTAATAGAAAACTGCGGTATTACTCACTGACACAAAAAGGAAAGCTTTATTGTTTGCAAAATTTTATTTTATTTTATTTTATTCTATTAATTGATATCACAAAATGTTTAGTTTTGTCCTTTTTGTTGTAAAATTAAAGAATAACTAGAATACAGTAAAAATAAGAGAAAAAATTAGGACAATGAAAGTAATATTTGTATTGAATTGTATTATGCGTTTGTTTTACAAGCTTTGTACATCAGAGAATTTTATTCTCCTGATTATACAAAATGAGATGTTACACCTTTTATATTCTTTACACATTTTGGTGGGCTATAGACATTCAGGTTATACTAATAAATTTTACTTTATTCTATTAATGGATATTATAAAAAATTTAGTATCATCAAACAGCTAATAACACGATAAATTGTTTGTGATTTAATTATGTTATAATACTGTTTGTTGTATTTGTATTTTAACTCAATATGCACGAAATATAATTTATAATTCAGTAGCATGAAACACAATCTTTAAAGTCCAATAAAAAAAATCTAATAGATAAGGGATATGAATGCTGAACCAAATTCTCAAGCATCGACATTTCAAAAATCTTGACGTATCGTGTTCGACACTTCTCGATATTTACCGACATTCCGACATTCCCCGACCCTTCAATACTCATTGCAAAGACTCAAAAAAAGTTTTGAAGGTTGCGTTGCGTTGTGTTTTGAGTTTCAACTATTAGATTCGTTGGATTTCGATTACTATTTTATTGAGTTTAATATAAATATTTGAGATATCTTGTGTTTTTTTGTAAAATAGATGGGTATTATAAGTTTAGCTTTATTTTTTTTTAAATTGTTGAATATTAAATATAATATATCTACATAAATTAAAAATATTATTTAATATCAAAACGTGTCCTAACATATTCAAATTTAATATTTTTTAAAATTAACGTGTTCAAGTGTCGTATCGTATTATATCTCGTGTCCCGTATTGACGTCGTTGCAACATAAGAACCAAACACTGAAATCTGCGCACTCGTATTTTGAGTAAATGGATAAATGTTCTCCCTCGCTCCAGCGCCAATGTTGAGTACTTTTGTGCATACTATTTTTTTTTTTCTGATGTATCATACTTCTATAAAACAAATAAAATGATCGCTTCAAATTTGATTTCCAGGCAGATTTTTGGACTCGGATTTTGTGTTTGTGTTCCGGTATTTTTTTTATTTTTTTATTGTGTAGAATGATCCAAATGTTCATTTGTTTTTGGATGTCAGCCACCAAACTATCCAAGATCGTACCTCAGCAATAATTTCAGACTCCAAATTCCACCGAGTCATGTGTTTGTCGGTTACGGTGATTAAATGCATCATAAAATTTCGTCAAAGATAAAATAGAAACCCACAGAGGGAAAAGACAAAATATTGGAAATAGGATATATTAACGTACGTTAATGAATGAAAAATGAAATTTTTTTTACTTATGTTATGAACGGAATGGAGAAAAGTTATAAGTATGGTGGAGGGTTAAACCCGTTATTATTCCTATGTTCTAGATGGTTCTTTTTTAGTCCTTCTTCCCTTCATTTCTCTCACTTTTTCTTGTCCTTTTCTTTTATTTATTTATTTATATATGCATATATATATATATATATTTTATTTTTATTTATTTATATATGCATATATATATATATATATATATATATTTATTTTTTATTTTTTTATTTTTTTCAACTGTTTTGTATCTTTTATGTGAGTTTATCTACCACCGATCCTAATTAATTTGAGATAAAAATAATGTTAATCTTGATGATGTTATGTATTGGGCAAGATCCGAGAGCTAAATTCTCCTGTACGTGATAAAACGGTGTGTAAACAGGTCAGGAAATTTGCCAGTGGTCTACCAATAAGGGAGTGTTTGGTACAGAAGAAATTTTTATTTGTTCGAGAATCTCGATTTAAAAAGATATGATTTTTATATTCAGTTTATGATAATATCTGAAAATTTAAAATTTTAAAAATTTCAGTTTCCCAAAAATTCGTAAAAAATCCGTATACCAAACGGACCCTAAGAGATTTCTTTAAAAATTACGTCATAGGTCTATTTAAAATGGCCTGACTTCTATGCCCCCGAAAATAGCTTGTATTTCTTTAATAAAATAATACAAATATATATAACTAATTTTTGTAAATATATAAATACAATTTTTTTAAATATACTAAATATAAGTTTAAATTAATTTGTTAAAATATAATAAATGTAAATTTAAAACATTTGTAAATATAAATTTAACTTTTGAATATTAATATAAATTAAGTGTCAATTATATAAAATATATTTAATATGAGAATGAAATTGAAGTTTAATTTTTTAAGTATGATAAATAATTTAAATATATATATATATATATGTATATATAAATTTATATATTTGTATATGCATTTGTACGTGCACACAGTGTTATGAAACTCGCCTGACCCGGTCAGGTCGACCTGTAACCTGGCGAATCGGTCATCGGACTGACTATGCATCGAACCCAGTCAAAATCGGCTAAACTCAGTTAAAACCGATGACCCGATTAGGATATGCATTTTTATTAATCATCAACATCAACATCAACATCAACAACACCTTTATCCCAAATTAATTGGGGTCGGTGGTAGATGAACCCACATGAAAGATACAAAACGGTTGAAAAAAAGTAAAAAAGTAAAAAAAAAAATAAAAAAAAATAAATAAATAAATAAATAAATAAATAAAATACACAAATAAAATAATAAAATAAAATAAAATGAAATAAAAATATATGTATATATAAATAAAGAAAAGTAAAAAAGAAAGGGACAAGAAGAAGTGGGGGAAATGAAGGGAAAAAGGACTAAAAAAGGACCATCTGGAACATAGGAATAACAGCGGGTCTAACCCTCCACCATACTTATAGCTTTTCTCCATTCCTTTCTAAGACATACTGTCCGCCAATCTATATCCCACTCCATTAAATCTTGTTTTACTACTTTCCCCCAAGTAAGCTTCGGCCTACCTCTGCCTCTTTTTGTGTTTAGCTCTTGGTATATATAAAATATGCATTTTTATTAATAAAAAAAAAATTATTTCATATTGTCAGAAAAAAATGTGAAACTCATTTTCAATTTTTTTATTATTTTATTTGCTAGTAGTACTCTTCTATAATAATATCAAATTTCAGCTTCTAATACTGAAGCAATTTGCGGAACAATAAATTAAGAGAATGTGACATATGTCATTTCAATGTAGATGAATTTGATAAATACATAACATTTGACCTTTTGAATGTCATTGAGAGGTATGCTTATAGAGATTCTGAGTTGCAATTTAAATTGACATAGTAATAGCATGCATTATCATTTATTTGTGTTTTATGAATTGTAAAAGTGTGATGAAGTAATTTTTGAGTTTATAAAGTGAACAATATTTAACTCATTTTAAGTATGGAGAATATAATTAAATTTATATGTTTATATTTATATAAATTTTATATATATTTATATATATCCAGGTCAATCGATCCGACCAGTGACCCACCGGTCCGACTAGTAACCCAGTGATCCAGTACTCCGACCAGGTTGATTGCCGGATCGAATTTTATAACACTACGTGCACGTGTATACATTTTTAATTTACTTTAAATTAAATCAAAATTAAATTTTATAATAAAAATCAATATAATTCAATTCAATTGATTATTTTTATTTCCAACAATATAATTAAATTATTAATATTTAAAGTTATGATTTGAACTATTGTACAAAATAATCATAACCTATAATTTACGGAGTATAATATATTATTTTTGAAGGCTTGACAAGTCTAAGCCTTGTATTTTAATAAAATAAATCAGGTCATATTTGTATCAGACTTATTTGACTCGACTCATTTATAGCCCTAAAGAAAGAAATGACAAATTGTTTTCTCAATGATTAGGAAACAATTTTATCTTTTATGTGTAGAGCCATTTTTTTTCCTCTTCTTTTTATATGATTCCACATGAATCTCACATATTCTTATGATTAAAACTAATTTTATGTTGCATAAGATAGTGTACCTCATCTTGTGAAACAAAATTAAGGTGGATCCCATCTTGATTTTTTTCTTTTTTCTTTTTTAGTGGGTCCCACATTAATTTTTTTTCACAACATGAAGTATACTATCTTATGCAACATATGGTTTTACCCTATTTTTATATGGGGCAGGTTATATTTATAAATTTTTTTGTTTACAAACTATACTATATAGGACCGGTCCTACATTAATCACATCGTGTACGACCGGTCCTACATTAGTATAATTGCAAAAAAAATTTGTAAGAATCTGTCCCTTTATATATATATATATATATATATATATATATATATATATATATATAAAAGAGACAAAATTATCTTATTAATTCATCAATTTTATGCAAAAACTAAACGGTAGTGTTTACATGCATGGGACATGAATCTTTTCAAGATTCTGGACATGAGACAGTGACACAAATACATATCTTTAGCCTCCTTGGCTTCCACGTTAGCTAAGAACTAAAACTTGCACAAAATGCAACGGCACCTGTCATGTCACTCGGTTTAATGAGGCTAAAGCTAACGCCTAAGACAAGTAACTGCAAACTTGAACACTTAATTTTGATTTACATTTTGAGACCGAAAGTTGTAGTTTCTCCTAAGATCCCCTATAACAGAATCCACCCTTTTACCTCTTCTACCCTGAAAGATAACAAAAACCATGTTACTTGTTCAGTAATCATCCAAAGCAGATATACTAGAATTGCCAGCATAAGCATACATATTGTTAATCATAGCTTATATATACGCATAGAATAAGGGACTTAGGATAAGGTACTGTAATGGGTTGGAGGTACCAAGCTGGGTTGGGGCTTATTGGAGCTTTTGTGTTAGTATGGGTCAGCTCTGCAGAAATAACTCAGGTTTGTACTCATATTTTTCCTGCTATTTTGTTTCTCTGTGGCTTTGTTTTGAAAATGTTTTTCTTATTTTATGGTTTTTAAGAAAAGGATAGGAAAACAAACTCTGAACTTTTTAACTTATTGGAACTGCAAGTGTGTCAGTTCAGAAACATGTTATCTTATTCATCTTAATTATGAAATTGACACGCAATACAAGGTTGGATTTTGCTTACTTTTGGACTTCAATGTGAGATAAATATTAGTGGAAGACTATCCACTATTGAGAGTAATTATATAATGCTCAATAATTATTTAAGTTTTTTTCCCCAAAATGACACCTATTCAGCAAAGGGCCTTAGTGGTTTATGGCCACCTTGCAGTTCATAAGATTATCCACTTCAATGGACACCTTTTGGTCATTGCTATTTTGTTGCCAGCAATACGAAGCTATAGGATATACACTCTCTTTTTTTTTTTTTTTTTTTGCAGAAATGTGGGTTGTTGTGGCTTTGTATTTGTAACAAATGCGTTACCACTAGAGCTGCCAAAATGGGCCGAGCCCCCCAAACGGGGCGGGACGGGCTGAGTTTTCTAAACCCGTTGCCCGCCAAGCCCGCCCAGCCAAGCCCGCTAGCCCACCCGAGCTGATTTTTTTTTTTTTTTAATTTTTAGTGTAAAATGTGACCGGCTTGGCGGGCAGAGATATCTAACCCACCTTCAATGGCGGGGCGGGGCGGGCCAGCCCGCTTTTTGGCGGGCTTTTGGCGGGCAGGGGCGGGCAGCCCGCTTTGCCACCTCTAGTTACCACTATTAGCCTCAATCCTTGAATAGCTTAACCGTTAAGACCAATTTATTGCTTTTAAAATCTTTTATGATATCAGTTTTCAGTACTTGGCTCATTTTAATATCAATATTCAATCCGACACGTTTCTTTCCAAAAACTTAGTGTTCCTATTTATGTGGGTTCAGTTAAAATATCCTAAGCAACCAGCTAAGTGTGTATTTTGTGGGGTTGTTAGGCCTTGTGCATTGACCAAAATATGTCCCAAAAAAAAAAGTTTTTAGGAAAAGGAATGAAACCTAGGAATTCTTCATGTATTCTACTTGAATTCATCAAAATGGAAGAAAGGAAAAAAAAGAAAAAGAAGAGAAACTTATAAGACACAGGTGCTTTGGCAATAGGATAAAAATAGACAACAAGAGGTAGTGTAGCTTCTGTTTGTATGCCTTTCTAATTGTTTTTCTATTCGTTGAAACATGTTATTGCTTCACTATTAACATCTGAATAGTTTTTTGGTTTGGTTATGCAGCAAGATTTTTATACTAAGCTTATGATACTTTACTGCAGAGGATTTTTACTGAGTATAAACAACCTTTTGCACTCACTTACCTTGGAGTATCTATGATGATAGTCTATCTACCCATTTCAGTTTTCAAACAGTGGATCTGTAGCTTACTGAAAACTTCATGTAGAAACTTCCATAAGGACTACACATCAGTTAGCATTTCCTCTGGACTTAGTGTGCCTTTTAGAAACGATGAAATTCACCAACAACTAGAAACCAATCTAAAAAACAGTTTGATTACTGACAAGGAAATTAGTGAAAGAGAAGAAGGGATGCCTCTGGTCAAGAAAGAGGAGGATGAAACTCACTTGCTTGAACAAACTTATGATTATATTTCATGGAAAATTGCTAAGTGTGGCTTGTACCTCACTCCAATATGGTTTGCATCAGAGGTAACAGGACTTCATTTAAATCTCATTCTTTAAATTTGAAGTTTTTTCTTTTTCTTTTCTTTCATTTTAACCTTTTGTGGAGAACTAAGAATACAAGTGGATGCAGCAGGACCAACGTTGTAGAACTATCCATATAACTTAATTCATAACAATGTTGCCAGACACAAAGTAATTTTGTATCACAAAAATTAATGATTCAATATTATGAACTTTGGAAATATGGGGACAAAAATAATTGAGATACTCTAATTCTTTTGGAATAATTTCAACTAATCTCCTATGCATGGTAGTTTTTACGTCTTAGAATTAAATTTCTCATTTTCTCCTGAAAGGATGGACCTATAGAGTAGTTTGGTCTTGGATTAACTTTGTGGAAAAGAAGGAATCAATATAAATCAGTATATACGTAACTATATTTTAGTATTTTGTATTTTTTGAAAAAAGGACTTCCCAGTTTCTGTTTTGAGTTTTCAAGATGTGCCACTTATTATGTTCCTTATCTTGTGCCTATAATGTTGCAAACTTGCAATTGTTTGGTATCTTGCAGTATTTGTCAAACATGGCGCTTGCAAATACTAGTGTTGTGAGTACAACAGTTTTGAGTTCCACGTCAAGTCTCTTTACCCTTTTCTTTGGAGCTCTTCTTGGCAAAGACACAGTAAATATAATCAAAGTAGTCGCTGTTTTAATCAGCATGGCTGGTGTTGCCATGACAACTGTTGGGAAAACTTGGGCAGCAGATGAGCAGATCAGCACCTCTGAGTAAGTTGAATGTTGCTTGTTATATAGTGCACAAGCTCTTTCCTCTTAATGCTTTATCCCTACAATCATTCAGTCCACCTTATTGAAGTGTGCAAACAGTTAATTTCCATAAGGAAAAAAACTTGTCAGTTTCTGTGAGAGATTTTAGCTTTTAATTTTATTAAGAAGCATAGAGTACTCCTAGTACAATACTGCAATTGTTTGATCTGCAATATATATTTATTTTATTTTATTTTTTTGAGGGCGACGGTTGCTCCTTGTGATCAAAATATCACAGGTTCGAATCGAAGAATGCAAAAATATAGGGGTAAGACTTCGTACAATTGACCCTCATCTCTATCCTTACAATTTGGGGAGCCTTCAAATCCTATCCTCCCCAACTGTATGAGCTACATCCAGGAGGTGTTCTTATGCAGTCTTTTTTACACACTCATCCATAGATCATAGATTTCAAGTGTGTTTCATCAGTCTCCATCTTTGTCCCTCTTAGCTAATAGGTTAGAAGATTCCAGTTCCTGGCAGGCATAGAAATAATAGGAAATAAATAAATTAATATTTATGATGCCTTAAAAGATTTTTGACATTTTGGGTTAGTGGTTCTACCCAACCCAACTAGTTTGGAATAAAGGTATTGTTGATGACGGGCTAGTGGTTCTACATGGACATATTATATATGTTTTCCCATATATTCTCTTGCCATCATTCTTTCAAGTTCTGAAATCGAAAAGTGTTTTTATTACAAAGGACTCAAAAGCATTTTATCGCTGGGGACATTTTTGGTCTACTCTCAGCAATATGTTATGGCTTATTCACAGGTATGCATATTTAACTGCCAATCAATTTTAATGTCAGATTACCTCTACTATATGTTTAATTTAAATCACAGGCAACTTTGTGTGGAACTCTGACTCTGAATATCATTGTTAATCATTAGTCAATTAATTGCAGTGCTTCTCAAGAATTCTGCTGGATCAGGTGAAAAGGTTGACATGCAAAAGCTTTTTGGCTGTATTGGTCTCTACAGTCTTCTTGGCTTTTGGTGGCTAGGTATGGATTTTTCCTTTGGGGGTTTTGCATGAAAAGGAATTAGGAATTCCATCAACCTTGGACCTTGGTTACTATGATATTTTCTAAGTAAACTAATTTGTAAAATTAATTTAGCAATTAAAAGGATGAAATTATTGTAAAGAACCAATTCAACCCAAAAACTTAAGCTGGTGGATGAAGTTATATTAATAGCTTTATATATCTCTAGAGGTAGGATCCTTTGACACCCGGTGTCAAATTTGAAATTTGACACCCGATGTCAAATTTGAAATTTGACACTTCATCTGAGAGCCGTTACATCAACATCATCAACATCAACAACACCTTTATCCCAAATTAATTGGGGTCGGTGGTAGATGAACCCACATGAAAGATACAAAACGGTTGAAAAAAAGTTAAAAAAAAATAAAAAAAAATAAAAAAAAGTAAAAAAGTAAAAAAACCAAAAATAAATAAATAAAAATAAACAAATAAAATAAAAATATAAATAAGATAAAATAAAATAACAATATATGTATATATAAATAAATAAAAGTAAAAAAGAAAGGGACAAGAAGAAGTGGGAGAAATGAAGGAGAAAAGGACTAAAAATGGACCATCTGGAACATAGGAATAACAGCGGGTCTAACCCTCCACCATACTTATAGTTTTTCGCCATTCTGTTCTAAGACATACTGTCCGCCAATCTATATCTCACTCCATTAAATCTTGTTTTACTACTTTCCCCCAAGTAAGCTTCGGCCTACCTCTGCCTCTTTTTGTGTTCTGCTCTTGGTAACAAACTTCTGTTCTTACAGGAGCATCCATGGGTCTTCTCATCACGTGCCCAAACCACCTCAATCTATGTTCTCTCATCTTCTCGGCTACCGGTACTACTCTGACCTTTCGTCTAATATCTTCATTTCTTATCTTATCCATCCTTGTGTAACCACACATCCACCTTAACATCCTCATCTCTGCTACTCCCATCTTATGCTCATGTTGCCTATGTGCTGGCCAGCATTCTGCTCCATATAGCATTGCCGGTCTTACTGCCGTTTTATAGAATTTTCCTTTTAACTTCAGGGGGATTTTGCGGTCACACAAAAATGCAGATGCACTGCGCCATTTCATCCACCCTGCTCTGATTCTGTGATTTACATTCTCATCAATCTCTCCACCGTTTTGTAAAATGGAGCCCAAGTATTTAAAAGCATCTTTTTTGGGTACCTCTTGACCATTTAGATGCACAGGTTCTTGGTCCTCATCTCGTACCAGAGAAAACTCACACTTCAGATACTCAGTCTTGCTTCGACTTAATGTGAATCCTCTGGATTCCAATGTGCTTCTCCACAATTCAAGTTTCCTATTAACACCCTTCTTGCTCTCATCAATAAGCACAATATCGTCTGCAAAAAGCATACACCATGGCACTTCCTCTTGAATATCTTTTGTTAGTTCATCCATAACTAAGGCAAAGAGGTAAGGACTTAGAGCCGACCCTTGGTGTACACCTACCGTGATAGGAAAATAACTTGATGATCTGTTACAAGCTTTTACACATGTAGTAGCCCCGTCATACATATCCTTGATTGCCTTTACATACTTTAATGGAACCTTTTTCTTCTCCAGGACCCACCATAAAACTTTCCTTGGAACCCTATCGTATGCTTTCTCAAGGTCTATGAACACCATATGCAAGTCCTTTTTCTTTTCTCGGTATCTTTCCATTAGTTGTCGCATCAAGAAAATTGCTTCCATGGTACATCTTCCTGGCATAAATCCAAATTGATTTACAGAAACCTTGGTATCTCTCCTCAAGCGATGTTCAATAACCCTCTCCCACAACTTCATAGTATGGCTCATTAGCTTAATGCCTCTATAGTTTGAACAATTCTGTATATCTCCCTTGTTTTTGTAGATAGGCACAATCATACTTTTCCTCCATACATCAGGCATCTTATTCGTCTGGAGAATCTTATTAAAAAGATTGGTCAACCATTTTATTGCCACATCCCCCAGGCATCTCCACACTTCAATAGGGACACCATCAGGCTCTAAGGCTTTATTAGTCTTCATCCTCTTTAAAGTCTCCTTAACTTCATGTGTATTAATTCTGCGTACAAATCTTCTATTCATATCATCACACGCGTCCTCTAAGTCCACCTCGCTTGTATCTCCATCCCCATTATACAGCTTGTTGAAGTATTTCAACCATCTTTCATTTACATCTTCATCTCTCACCAGAAGTTTTTGATTTTCATCCTTGATGCATCTAACTTGGGTGAGGTCTTTACTTTTCTTATCCCTTATCTGAGAGCCGTTAGATTAAAAAATATCAACGACTCTGATTTGTAAGCATGTGACAGCATTGATATTTTTTGATCTGACGGCTCTCAGATGAGTTGTCAAATTTCAAATTTGACACTGGTGTCAAAGGATCCTACCTCATATCTCTAACATGCCCCTTTACGCAAGACCTCACTGAGCTTGAAGGGTGGACAATGAATAGGTCCACTTACTTGGGCTAAGAAATTCCACCAGACTTAATTAATTATTAATTAAATGAGAGGCGGTGAGGATCGAACCCGTGACACCGAGGCTCTGATACCATGTTAAATATCTGACACGGATTACAAAATATAAATTATAGTTGCAAGTTGCAACTTACAACAAATTAATGGTGGATATAGGGATTTGAAGGAACCCCCAGCCATGCCCTCAGGAAGGCTTGTTTAGTTCTTTCTCTTTCACTTCTGCCATTGTTCCTTTCCCCTTTTGGTTTGTTGTTTTATACATCAAACACATTAGTGTAATGCATTTTCATGACACTATTTTTGCTACTTGTCAGTTAATTTGAATACTGGATAACTTTGTCATTGCAAATTACTATATAGTTAAGAATTTCATGCCTCATTTATTTGTAAAACTTTCTAACTCATGCTGTTGCAAGTTTCATGCAGCATGGCCGTTACATGCTGTTGGAATTGAACCTGTTTTCAAATTTCCAAGTTCAAGATCCACTGGGGAGATTGTTATTGCAAATAGCATTTGGTCAAGCGTGATTTCAGATTACTTGTGGTAAGTTGAACAGCATTTGGTGTGTATGAGACTTGGTGTTAAATATATACTTTTGTCACATAGTATAATTAACAGTTATTGCACAATATTCTATTTGATTTAAACTTAACTCCAATGAATATTGTGACAGGGTCCTTTCTATAGTTTGGACCTCACCTTTGGTTGCTACATTGGGCATGTCCATGACAATTCCTGTTGCCATGATAGCTGACATGGTTATACATGGTCGCAAGTACTCTGCAATCTACATTCTTGGATGCATTCAGGTTTGACATTTTTTGCATTCCATTGAAATTGGTTTGCACCATTATCTGAGGACTATGGTTTAAATATTCATTCTTTGGTTCTATTGGAAACAGGTTTTTGCAGGATTTACTCTAGCAAGCCTTTCGGATAAGTTTTCTAGAAGTGATGCAGAGTTAACTACGTCATGTTCTGAGAAGTAGGAGTTTTGTAAATTAAACGAGGAGGAAACTAAATATAGCCATGAAACCAAACTATGTGAAATGGTGAGGGAAAAGCATAACTGTTGAACTAAAGCGTTAAGATGTTGCTCCTAATGTCACACTGAGTAGCGGTAGGATATGACAGAATTCATTTTGGTTGAAGAATTGTTTGACCATTTTTCAAATTATGCTTTGGTCAACTATGATTCACATTGCACCAAAGAAAAAAACAAATTAGGATAGACACCATTTGGTTAAACCTTTTTGACTAATTAAAATCTAAATAATAGTTTTAAAATCAATAAAATAATGATAAAATTTAGGTTAAAATATATTTTTGCTTTCTTTACGGAACACTCATTTTTATATTTTACAATAATTCTATTTTATATCAATTTCTTAATGATTATACTCTTAAAATAAGACAAATATTAAGGGAATTTTTTTTCCTTCTATAAATATTCATTCCTTTTTTTATTTATTTATTAAAGTGACACTTTTTGTACATGGTTTTTCCTTGTCAAAATTTTGGTCGGATTTCAGCTATTGAGTCACCATGTCCTCACATATTTCTTTGATTATCAACCTTCGCCTAAGATCCATTTGCTGTAGCTATTTTATTGAGCTTAAATTTATATCTTTATCCTATCTTACACCGGGACACGGGATTCGATACGATACTTCAATATGTTAATTCTAAAAAATATTAAATTTTGACACTTTTAGACACGTTTTGATACTATAAATGTTAATTTATGTAGTGTATATTATATTTAATATTCAATAATTTAATAAAAAAATAAAGCTACACTTATAATATCCATCAATTTTACAAAGAAACATAAGATATCTCAAATATTATTAAACTCAATTAAATGGTAATCATAATTCAATGAATTTAATAATTGAAATTCAAAATGCAACACGTGACCTTTGAAAAAAAAATTGAGTCTTTGGAACGAGTATCAGAAAGTGTCAGATACGACATACCAAAATTTTTGAAGTGTCCGGTCCTTTATACTTTTTATCTCACTGTTTTAGTGTTAGATTTTGTCATCATGTGATATGGGTTGGCTTAGAGAGAAAGACTGCAAGAGGTAAATGATTTTCTTCTTCTCAAATATACCACAGAATCAGTGAAAGAACCCATAAATAAATAAATGACAAATGTATTGGTGATTTCTGATAATCAATCAGCTATCCATGTTGGAGTGATCAGTCTAGTTTACCACGATTAAACCAAGCATATCAATCTCGGTAAAAAAATTAACATATTGTTTTTTAATAAATATTTACGGAAATGTAATCATTTTAAATATAAATACAAACCTATAACATTTAAATACGCCCTATAGGGGACGTGACCTCATAGAGAGAGACACACCTCACAGGGGGGAAATATCTAATATACTACTGTCGCACCATTTATTTGGTGCTACCAGCCAATAGAAATTCATGAATGACTGTGATATTTGTACATATAGGAGAAGTAATGTTTTTTTATCCAAATGTCAGTTGTTCAATGAAAGAGTTACCTACTACAGTTGTATGGAAGATGTTCTCCCCACAACCTACTACAGTTGTATGGAAGATGTTCTCCCCACAGGGGGCGTGACTCACCAGGTGCTGAGACATGACACAAAAAGTCTATAGTTTGACCGTAAAACTTTGAAAGTCCATAACTTTTGACTCGGCTATCTGAATTAGGTAATTTTTTTTATTTCACGTAACTTTTCGAGATTTACGCAATGAGGTCTCATTGAAGGGGATTTGATGAAATTTTTTCAAAATTTTGAATATTTTATCGTAAAACTTCGGTAGGCCATAACTTTGGCCACGGGTGTCTGAATCGAGTTTTTTTTTTTTATTTCGCATAACTTTTTGAGACGAACGTGTTGATAAGTCTGGAGGGGACTTGGTCAAAATTCTTTTTGAAAAAATGCTTCCTTGTGCTCTGTTTTGCATATTTATATCTATGAGTGTGAACGATGTTATTTAAGTTGAAGTTTCGTCTCCGTTAAATATAATTTCAATTTGCAACAATGGTACCATAATCATAAGTATCTTTATTAGAAATGTTTCTAATCATGACAGTGGTTTTCTCTTTATTAATCTAGGTTTAAACGTTCTTATAGTATCATTGTTGTAAATTGAAACTTTTATGGTTAGAGACAAAATATGACAGATGAGGTGTTATTGCATAAATCTCGAAAAGTTGTGTGGAATAATTTTTTTTTTTACCTAATTCGGATACCGAGTCACAAGTTATGGACTTCCAAAATTTTACAGTCAAACTGATGATTTTTTGTGTCATGTGTCAGCACCTAGTGAGTTACTCCCCTTGTGGAATGTGTCTCTCTCATAAAACACGCCATCTGTGGGACATGTCTCTCTTCATCCGGTCACGCCCTATGTGGAGCATGTTCGAGTGCTATAAATTTGTATTTACGTTTAAAATAACTATGTTTTTGTAAATATTTATTAAAAAAACAATATTTGAATTTTTGTTTCCCTATTAATCTCGGTTGGCATTTGGTTCTTGTCTCTTTAGATTCGTTTGTTCGTTGTTTGTAGCTGATGTGCTGAACAATGCTCTTAGTTTCAATCACCAGTTCTAAAACATTAGTATGCATGAGGGCTAACATTCAGTTTTTAATATAATTTTACTAATAAGATTTAGAAAAAAGGTGTGTTTTTTTTAAAGGACACAATTTGTGTTCTTTTAATAATTTTTCATTATGTCTTATCATTAAAATATAGTTATATGTTATCCAAAAAAAAAAAATATAGTTATAATACGAAAAATTATTATTTTTCTCTCCTCAATCACACCAGCTGATGTGGAAAATGAAAATAAAATAAAATAATTTTTGGTATTATAATTATATTTTACTTTTTAAAAGATACAAGTTATATTCTTTAAAAAGACAAATATTAAACCGTAAGATTTATCTGTAAATTTTTTACTTCCACACCAAACTTATCCTAGCTTAATGGTAGACTCAGAAAATTTTTTAAAGGGGGGAAATTATATTATATATTTTTTCTTTGAAGTTATAATTATTTATGTGACAATTTTTTTTTACTTATAATTAAAGGTTTCTGTAAATTCTGAAAAAGTGTGAGTATAAAATATATAACAAAAAATTAAAAATAATACTTACTTTTAAAGGTTTTTATAAATTTAAAGTGGGACGAATACCCCTCTCCTAATGCATTAACTCATACATCAGATAATATCTCCCTTGTTTAAATTATCCTGGGTATACGTAAAAGAAAAGAAAAGAAAAACCGTTGATATTCTTTATGTTCAATTTTTCTTTTTACGTAAAATATTAAAATTAAATATAACGTAAACGGCTAGATTTAGACCAACTGATTAATTTAGGTTCATAACAGTGTTAATCACTACTAATCTCATTCCATGTAAAGACCACCATGCACTTAACTTTATTTATACAAATCAGATATTCAAATTCAGTCTCATTAGTTTTGATTCCTCACAAAAAATTTAAATTGATAATATTTTTTTTCAAAAGAAAAAAGACTCTCAAAAACTTTGAGGATCATTTAAAAATTCAATAAATCATTCTTAATAAATTTATAAAAGTAACTCAAAGATACTTTTATTTCATTTTTCTCTTGCAAAAAATGTTAAAAAAATCGCTTGGACGGGATATGAAATTCATAGTGGTTGTGGAAGTTCAAAGTGACAATAGAATATATATACAAAAAAAAAAAAAAAAGTGACAATAGAATAAATAAAAGAAGGCTGGTGGGGAAGCACTTTTTACATTATTTATTTGAGGAGAGATATTCTAATTACCAAAATTTTCCACTACCAACTTACTACATATCTAATCATCATTAGATTAACATTTTATCTCTCTTCAAAAAAATTTTAACATTCTCTCTCTTTGATCCAATAGTGATGTGATGGGTAGTAAGTTAGTAGTAAGAGTTTTTAGTAGTTAGAATATTCTTACTCTATTTATATTGTTTTTCTTTTTAACATATTTTTCCGCGTATCACTGGATTTTACATAAAAATTTTTATTTAAAGATTTTGGGAAAATGTTTATTATTTCAAAGAAGAATTTGTGTCAATTTAAATAAAATGATATATTTTGGTATATATTTGTTGGGGTTTCAACTTCTCATTTCTTAGGACAATTCAGAAAAAAGGTGGTGGAACCTATCTTATAAAAAAAGAAAAACAAATGGTGCAAAAATCGAAATAAGAGTGTCTGATGAGGGTAATTTGCAGCAACATAAAAAATATTGTTTATCATATTTGTTAATTTTTTACATTAGATCTCCTTTTTTAAATTTTTTTTTTTCTCTTCTTGTAATTTTGTGAGAAAAAAAAATGTAAAATAACAAAAAATATAGAGTTTATCATTTCTTTTATCATAAGAGATAAAAAAATATGTTGTGATCCAAAAATTACGATATTTTTATGGTTGAAGAAATTAGTAAAGGGAATTTTCATAAAATTCGTATAAACATAAATAAATAGAGCCGTTTCATTGTAAACAACGCAAATAATAGTGTTCTGTAAGATAAAGGAAGAGAGAGAAAGAGAAAATCATAACCATTTAAAGGTGAAATAATACATATAAAGAAATAAATAATTAAAACGACGTAGTTTTAGGGTGGCCGAAGATAAATTTGTCTCAAGCAGCTTGAGAAATATTTTTCCCTATATATATATATATATATATATATATATATATATATATATATTATCATTTTATAAAATATATTTCGCCTACAATTTAACTTCAAGCTTAATTAATTATTAACTTCATAATTTTTTTTTTATCAAAAGTCAAATATAATTTTTTGATACTGTTATCTAATCTTATGAGTTATAAGTAGGTGTCTAAATGGACCGAGTGGCTTGTTATGAGCCTAAGACTTGACTTGCTTTAAGTTTGACTTGTTTAATAAATAGAAAAGGCTCTTGCTTTAAAAAAAGCTTATTTAACAAATAATTTCAAGCCTAAGTTAACGAGACTAGGCTTGAAAACCCGTGAACTTGTTTGATATATTATTATAATAAATAATATATTTCTATGCCAGTGAATCATTAACCCTACTTTTTTAAGGTTGTCTACTGAGAATAATCATAGTTTCATAAATAAGCTCTCTCTGACTATTAGTCTCTCCTTTCCTCAGTCACTCACCTTTCGTAGCTTTACCCCAATCTTCTATTTAGCGCAACTCTGGTCATTTGGACGTATGTGAGTTTAGAAAAAATACATTTTATAATTATAAATGAGTCAAGCCAAGCGCAAGCCAAATCTTTAATTATTCATAAACAAATCAAACCAAGCCTAGAATTTAGTTCATATCATGTTAATGGGCCAAACCAAGCTTGAAATATTTTTTATAGGCTTGACTTGTTTAAGCTAAAGTTTGGTTCGACTCAGCTCATTTACACCCTTAGGGCTTGTTTGGTGTGACGTATAAGGCCTGATAGTATAAGCTTATACTATACGTTATGACATTTTCAGTTGTTTGGTGTGACCATTAGAGGTGTTAACGGACCGAGCCGAGCAGAGCTTTGGTCTTAAAAGGTTAAGCCTGTGTTTAAATGTGTCAGCCTAACCAAGTTTGTTACTTGTTATAAATATAATTATCGGCATATGACCTGACTTATTTACAAAAATTAAAAGCCTAGTTTAGCCTGGTAGTCTGTTTAGAAAAAATAAGAAAACAAAAATTTATCCAAACAGAATATACAATCAACAACACTAGTAATTCTATAAATATTCATAAATTCAATATATATCCAAACAGTATAATATAGAATAAAATCATTCAAAAAGTTTGTTTAACCAATAAATTGGGGTGAAATGAATTGAGGAGAAAGATAAGGCTATTACAAGTAATATAAAAAATATAAAATAAAATAAAATAAAAAATAATATACTACTCTAGCCTGCCTGAGAGACTCTAAGGCCGAGCTTTTGAATTGGAGCATGAAGCCTTTTTATTAAACGAGCTTTTATACAAGTTCAAGCATGTTGCCAACAACCAATTTTAGACATTTAAACTCAGGCTTTCACGAGCCGAGCCAAAGGCCTCTGGTTCATTTAGCACCCCTAGTGATCATCGTATAGTATAAACTTATACAGTAGAATCCCTTAATACATCAAAATAATGTATAACTTAATCCGACCTAAGGGGGAGAGATTAGGCGTGATAAGGGATTAGTGTACTAACATTGTTGACCAGTGCAATTTTCAAAAATTAATATATTATTTTAATATTAATATATTAAAATAAAAATTAATTTTTCAATATATTACATTTTAAATATTGAATCTTTTTATTTTTATAAAAACTAATTTATTTTTTGGACACACTAATCAATAGATTTTATAAAAATTAATATCATATGACATTTTTTGAAGAATTATATAAATTCTTTATTAAAAGATATTTTTATTAAAAATATCTTTTTATCCTATATAGTACTATATATATAGTGCATTACCAAATACTACATTATATTATCTTATAGATAATACAATATATTATTTTATACAATATCATATCAAATATTGGATAGTATTAAAATTCAGTCAGATCTATACAATCAGACCTTATACTATCAGGTCTTATACTATCAGTCATTATCCTATACCATGTACGAAATTTTTATACTACACTTTATCTAATAAATTTAAGGCTTTAATTTTTCTAAAGTGAATGTAGATAAGTTATCTACATTCACTCTTAAAACGATGTCGTTTTGGGTTGAAAAATTAAAAAATTATAATGAAAAAGACTATTATAACCCTGAAATAAATTATAATTACAAAAATACCTTGATTTCTGTCTCAAAATAACGTCGTTTTAGACTCAATATAAATAAATTATCTACATTGACCGTAGAAAAAACGAACCCTGAATTTAACTAAATTGATAATTATTTACAATTTCAAACTTATTTATCAAAATTAAACTCTGATTTTACTTTACAATTTGTAGTTGTAGTTTTATACATAAACGGTGAGTTTAGTTACTTGTGTTCACCTTGCGAGTTCTGCAATCTGAAGGAGAAGAACCCTAGAATGGACAAAGGGAAGGGAGTGATGGGATCCTTCGGAAGAAGATGGGGCGTTGATTTCACTGACAATTCAACTTCTCGCGATATTCCCGATCCTCCCGGTTTCTCCCGCGCTTCTCTCGATCAGGTTTCACAAACCATCTCTCTCTTTCTTTTTTTCTTTTTTCAATTTTTCCCCTTGCTTTCTTTTTCCAATTAATAAAAATTAAATTCTTGTAGGACGATTCGACGCTTAGTCGCCAGAAGAAGGATGCTGAATCCAACTGGAAATCTCAGGTTTACTTCTTCTTTTTTTATTAATTTTTTTTTTTTTTAAATTATGGTAATTGATTGATTGTTAAGGATATGATTTGTGTAATTATTGCTGGTTTTAATTATATAATTTTTGTAAACAGAAAGCTTGGGAAGTAGCACAAGCCCCTTTTAAGAACTTGCTAATGATGGGGTTCATGATGTGGATGGCTGGTAGTACAGTCCACTTGTTTAGTATTGGTATTACCTTCTCAGCTCTTTGGCAGCCCATAAGTGCTTTACAAAGCGTCGGAAAGAGTATGGTTTTCTCTGCTATTCTCTCTCCATGATCCCCTTTTGAATGATTATATCATCTCATTTGAGCCAGGATATATAAATTGATGCCCATTATAGTCCATAGAACTTGATGTTTAAAGCTAGTTGATTATGATATGAATGGAAATAGTATACGTTTGTTGAATTGAATGATTGATCTTAGATATCACACGTCCCTTCTCTGGTGGTTTGTCATAAGAAATTTATCCGATATGTAAGTGCTTGTTTGGATTAGCTTATTTTGTGTTCAAAACAGCTTTGAATTAGAACCTTTTGGTAAATAATGATTTTTTATTTTTTCTCCCAATAAAAGGTGGCCGTGCTCTACTGTTTAAGGCACTGAAGAAGTGTTTTTGAGCATTTATTGGAACTCATTTTCTTCCAGAATGGATGATACTTTTAATTTTTTGTTCTCTTTCGATCGACATTGATAAGATATTTTAGCGCATTTGCTTTTTATTGCGTTTTTTGTTTTTGTTTTTTTTCCAGTTTTTTTACCTCCTAAGTATTGTTGCCCTGAACCCCACAAAACATCTGCTGGAGAACTTAAGTTTGTTATGGGATCGTTAATGCATTCTAATGATTTTTTTTATTTTTTTTGCAGTTTTTGAGCCTTACAAAGACAGTAAAGTGGAGCTTCTTGGGCCTAAGTTGTTATTCCTTGCCCTTAATTTGGGCGGCTTGGCACTAGGTGTTTGGAAGGTAATATATGCAGTCATGTTGTGCCTTGAGGTTCTCATAATCTTTTTTGTAATTTATAATTTCAAGTTAAATGTTTGTACATGCCGGCATTGTTGTCAAACTCGCAAGTTATCTCTTATGGGTTTATGATCCTATGACTAAAAAGCTAGTTAAATTGCTCGTGGAATCTTTTTTTTTCTTTCAAAAAAATCATGATTTCGAGTGAACTTGAATTTGGTAAACTTTCAATTCTCCTACCGAGTTTACAAGCCTAGATGTATACATTGTTTTGGCCTCAAAATGTACAGTTTTGGTTGATTTTGATGCATGCTTGGGTTGAATTGCTTATGTTTTGCAATATATATATATATATATATATAGGCTTTAATGTTTTTAGAGTGAATGTAGATAACTTATCTACGTTTGCTCCCAAAATGACGTCGTTTTGGGTTAAAAAATTAAAAAATTATAATGAAAAAGACTATTATAACCCTGAAATAAATTATAATTACAAAAATACTTTGATTTCCGCCTCAAAACGACGTCGTTTTAGGCTCAATTATCTACATTGACTGTAGAAAAAGCGAACCCATATATATATATATATATATATATATATATGTATACTATGGAGCATCGACACTTCAAAACCCGACACTCCAACACGCGTTATAGAAATTCAAAAAAAGGTTCAAAGTTTGCGTTGCGTTGAGTTTTTAGTTCCAACTATTAGATTCGTTGGATTATGAACGATTTATTGAGTTTAATATAAATATTTATGATATCTTATGTTTTTTTGCAAAATTGATGAATATTATAAGTTTAGTTTCATTTTTTTGTTAAATTATTGAATATTAAATATAATATATACTACATAAATTAAAAATATTATTTAATATCAAAACGTGTCCTAACGTGTCGAAATTTAACATTTTTTAAAATTAACGTGTCAGAGTATCGTGTCGTATCGTGTCACGTGTCCCGTGTCCCGTGTCCCGTGTCCCGTGTCGATATCGGTGCTACATAGTATATATATATATATATGAAGCTAATATAACAGTTGGGTCAAGTATTGAATTATGTTTTTACTTTGTCACTTATGTTTGCTTTGTTATGGAGTTGGAATGTTCAATATTAATTATTAATGCTATTAAATTATGTTTGGGTACTAGAATATGTTTTTAAAATAATACTTTTGAAGAACGAATTGAGTTTATCTAGACTCTTGAGTTTGACAACCTTGCTGCCACTTTTAATAATTCAGATTTGATTGTTCTGTTCTGTTCTGCAGCTCAATGCATTGGGGCTTCTTCCTACGCACACATCAGACTGGGTCTCATCCTTACCACCTGCTCAGGTTGGATTCGTGTTTTTAATAAATTAATTACTTGTTATTTTCAATCTCGGTTTTGTAATATTTACGCCCTCTTGAAACAGTAGTTAAAAAGTTACGCACGTTATCTTGCTGGCTCCATGGTATTATGACAAAAACCTGGAGCATTTTGTTGGACCTCTTCTTGACAGTTTTGGAAATTGATGAATTCAACACTTTGCTGTTTTACTCTACTGAGTTGCAGCTACATGGTTTATAAGTCTGAATTTAATTTGATAAAGAATTGTCATCTTGACATTATCTCATCTTGTAAAGTTATGGTGGAAGATCTATTTAAATTATATGCCAAATAATGAAATCAACATTATGAAGATGTTTTTAATGATGAATTACAAATCTCAATGGTTTACTTTTGACAGCCTGAATTTCAAGTGGTAATTCTATTCTTTTAATGCACATTTATTGTAAAGCCATAGTACCTTTTTCTTAGTTTATTTTCATGTTCTTCTCATGAAGTCAATAATTTATCAGTTTTATTTTTTTGCTGCTGTTTACAACCATTATTGCTACGGTTCTTAATTTTTTTTAACTGTAAATATATTAATATTGTTAGGAACTCCTATGTTAGAACACATGGGAATTATATGTAAGGGGCAGAAGAGAGATTTGGGTTGTTGTAACAACCTTGCCTACACTGCAAGGAGAGTGGGAAGGAAAGGGCAAGGGTTAGAAGCAAATATAAAAGGCAGAAAAAGGTAGGGGAGAGGATATCCTGTTGTTGAGTGAGTTTTGGGGTCTTTGGGCTGGGAGATCTTTTATTTTCTTGTTCTTTGAGTGTTAGTGATGAACCTGTGATTCTGATCTCTATGATTGGGTTTATCCTGTTTTATGTAAAAAGATTCTTAATTCCTATCAATTGGAATCAAATCAAGACGTTGCAGGAATTGATTGGAATATCAGTTGTTGGGGAGGTTTAGAAGATGGATATTACGGTGAGTGGAGTTTGGCACCAGAGGATGTTTTGCTTTGTGCAAGAATATCTTTGTTTAATTGACCCAGAAAATTTGAACATATCTGATGTCTCTATTTTTCACCACGTGGATGAGTCTACCGCTCGAAGTGTGAATGGCTATAGGGTTGCTGATCCCTAAGGTTGACCTGTTCTGTAAAAGCTATTTGCCAAAGGAAGGAACAATGGAAGCAATTTTTCTTATTTGACCTGGGAGGTAAAGATGTTGGATTGGAAGTTAGTTGTACAAATGAGTTCCCCAAAAAACTGGGGTTTTAGTCATTATGTTTCGAGCAATGGGACCCTAGTGGAAATTATTATGTTTCAATTATCACTTGGCTGTTGTGCTTCAAGCAAAGAGAACCTGGTTGAATGCCTTTCAGTTGCTACATGGCACTTAGCCAAACCTCCACCTTGAGGACAAGGTGGATGCTTCAGAGGCAGTATTGTTAGGAACTCCTATGCTGTACCACGTGGGAATTATGATTATGGGGCAGAAGAGGGATTTGGGTTGTAACAACCTTGCTACATGGCAAGGAGGGTGAGAAGGAAGGGAAAAGGTAGGGTAGCGGACAGTCATTGAATGAGTTTTGGGGCCGTTGGGCAGGGAGGTTTGCAAACTCTTAAGTTCTGCAATGTTATATCTTTTGTTTTCTCGCTGTGTGGGCGAGAGTGATGAACCTGTGATTCTGATCTCTGTAATTGGGTTTATCCCTATTTTCTGTGGGAAAAAAATGCCTAGTTCCTATCAAATCCCTCTCATACTTTTCAATTTTATAAACTAGGAATTAGTTGTAACTTATATTTTTTTATACTTGTGCCTCAAATTTAGAATCCTGGTCTTCCCACCTAAGGCATTGAATGTTACAAAGTAAGTTTGGACAACAACACTTGAAGATCCATAAAATAAAGGGGCAATGATTTATGTTGGGTAATCGTACATTTGAAACTGCATGATGGGAATTAGTTTTCTTCTCCATATCTTGTATTTTTTTAATTTATGTCTGAAATTTAATGTCCTGGTCCACCTACCTAAGGTGTTGAATGTTACAAAAAAGTTTGGTCAACAATGCTTGTAGATCCCAAAAACAAGGGCAATGATTTATGTTGGGTAATCATACATTTGAAATTGCATGCTTACTGATAATACAAATTTAATAAGTTTTCCTTTATTGAGTTGAAACTGGTATCATAAATAGCTAACTAATGCTTACAAGTCATTGTATGGGGTCGATATCAGAGTAATTATTGAAGAACCATAGTTATTTGCTGTATAAAAGAAACGTATGGTATGATAAAGAGTTGGTGCAATGCGGTTGGATTCAAGTCAAAACACAAACATGTGCTTTAAGTTTATTTTGTAAACTAGATAATGTGATCATTTTTCAATTCCATAAATGATGGTTGATTTTCAAAATAAATCTATTACTGTTTATCTGCCCATGGAAAAAAAAATCTATTTCTCCTACTTTCTCTTTTGTCAATTTAAAGACCTGATGATTGGTTATGTCATTTTCGTGATTATGATGCTGTAATGCCTTTAGCTCCTTTGCTTTATATGCTCATAACCATACTTTTTTTATCTTCAGGAGGTGGAGTATTCAGGCGGGGGTTTAAATTTGGGTTGATGTGCGGGTTCTTTTCATGCCTGGCTTGACTAGAGAATTTTAATAAAGAAGGATAAGGATTCAGTGCTGTTGGTCAACAGTATGTTCTAATGGTTACTGTGGACTGCGTGAGGCATGGCTTGTTTCTGATTTAATATAAATGTTACCAATTCTTGTAGTCATCAAGATTGGACAGGGTTTTGTAGTAGACTGGGAGTGCTCTATTTAAGAATATTATTTCGATTTATAGTGAGGATTTTAATATTTACACATTATAATTCTCCGTACCCCTTTTATTAATTTATTGCAGATTTGGTATAAAGTAAAATGATGTACAAGAATCTCCCTAAAATTTATGAAGCAGTATATCTTTTGATTTTTCTTACATGCTTAAGTTGATTCACCTTTCACATCCTGCATGTATGTGTGATGTCGTTGTAACTAATTAACCTGTATTTGTAACTAATTTGTGTCGCAAAGATATACCAATCTTCTTCCCCTAACCATTTGCCGTTGATTAGTCTGATTCATTGCCAACTACAAGGCTGTTAGGTATTTTGAGGTCATTCTACTGAGTGAAACACAATCTCCTGTTTCCTTGTATTCATACCAAATGATGCTACAGCCTACATGAACACATACTCAAAATGTGCGTGATATTATAAAGGAACCATAATTGCTAGACCTATGTCGTAAGGCAAATGGCAAGCCATTCATACGAGCACAACTGTCACCATCACTGAATATCACCATTATTTTGCTTAGCCTTTGACTCAAGTAATATTTTTGAGTAAACGCCAGAAGTTTCGGTCATTGTGCCACTGATTTGCGATATAATCTTCAGAAGACAAACTCTTTGTAATAGGTGGGATGAAAAGCCATTCTGTGAAAGACCATTATTAGATTGTAATCCATGTGTGACATAAACATAGAAACTGGATATTAGGTTGATTTAATTTGTTTTTATTTTAAGTAAAAAATTAATGAGCATTTATTGAAAAATAATGATATTTGCTCCGGCATGTTTTGAATGACTCTGTTGACTATGATGACAAATTAATTGACTACATTAATTTTGGTTAAAACAATCCATGTAAACTTCCTTAATTTGTGCCAATTTTGTTTGAATTAAATTTCATGATTTTTTTAAACTTTGTGTCATAAATTTTTTTTATAAGGAAATTATATTTGAAACAAAACTTAGAACCATTAATATAGGCTAAAGTTCACCTAATAGCCATGACTCATTAATGATAAGCCCATTTAGTAACATGGTTTGTTTAGCAGACAACCCAAATCTACAGTGAGACACTATTGTATACTCTATCGTCCATCGAATGAATGATAAGAGAATGTATTACCGAGAGACACCTACGGCTACAAGTACAACATTGTTATTGGCAGCTAATTGCAATGTTGGAAGTTGAATTTTGGGCATCATAAGATTATGGGAAATAATGCTCTTATGCTACATAAGAGTACATCATTTTTCTACACTAATTCGTTTTCTGTGTCAATTAATTTTTTTTTTTTTAATATAAAATATGGGACCCACATTTAACTTCTCTCTACTTTTTTTATCTCCTACAATCCTACAACATAAAAAAACTTAAACCCTAATATTATTATTAAAAATAAGACAATGTCTATCAGTCCACGAGACATTTAACAGAGGGAGAAAAAGACTAATTAACCGCAAATGATTAAAAAAATACGGTTAAGTAAAAAGCTTTATGTGCTCAGCCAAATTTATTTTTTGTATAAAGCTAGAGCCAACATAGTCTAACGGTGTGTGTGTATAAATATTGAGGGTAAACTCATACGTTTAGGATTTGAATATGGCATAATTTATACAACACTCCTATACCCCATAAAATATCCTGTTCTATTTTTTAAAAAAAAATTAAGTAGAGTTTCATGGACTTTGCAAAATTTGAAGTTGCTTAGTACAATAGATACTCCTTTATCCAATTTTCTTTTGAGAAAAAGAATTAATAAATAATAATAAATTAAATTGGTAACTAAATGATATAAAAGGAGAATATAGATTTAATTATGGAAAAACACTTCTCATGTTGCATGAGAAATATTAGAAATATTTTTTCATGTTATGACCCTTTGACTTGCGTATAAATTTATTTTTTTAATAAGTGTGAAATCCATCATTAATTGAGTCACAACATCAGAAAATAATTCTCATGTAATATTAGAAAATCAAAACTCTTTAATTATAAAAGCTATCAAAATGGGTTATAGCCCACAGCCCATCCCCAAATCCCTTATGTTCGACCATAACCCACAAAATCCATTTTGTAAGGGATTAGGCGGGAGTTTATTCATTGACCAACATTTTTTCTTTATTAAAATGTCCTATATTTAAAAATTAAATAAAAAACATATAAAATTTATATATTTATAGGAAAAAATATTTATCCTTTTAAATGATATAACCTTATATCATTTTATATCCTAACCGTTGATTTCCGTCCATCAACGGTTATAATCTATTGGGTCATATTTAATGGGCCAAATTTATTATTAATTAATTAATAATATTGATCCAATAAATTATAACCGTTAATGGACGGAAATCAACAGTTAAGATCTAAAATGATATAAGCTTATATCCTTTAAAATGACAGATGTTATTCCCATATTTATAAATATTAAATAAATTAAAAATATAAAATAATATATTTATATAACGAGAAAGATTATATTTACAAACTAAATTATTTACAAACTCTTACAATCAAATTTTAACCGTTGATTTCATTAATCTAACGGTCATAATTTATTGGGTCACATTTATTAATTAATTAGTAATTCTCAATAAATTATAACTGTTAAATTGACAGAAATTAATAGTTAATATTTGATTGTAAGATTTTGTAAATAATTTAGTTTGTAAATATAACTCTTCTATATATATATATATATATATATATATATATATATATATATATATGATTTAATAAGAAATTTTCTTTATTTTAATTGTTTGTTTGAATAATTTTAAATAAAAGATATTTCTTCTTTATTTATAATTATATATTATTTATTCTTATATAATAAGGCCGGCAATAAAATTAATTTCATATATTTGGGTTTATTATCTTGTATGATGGATTCTTTGAACTTGATGCTTTCTTTGAGTAATTCCTTAAAAAACCAAATACAAGATTCCATTAGGGAATAGATTATCATAATTCATGATGATGAATATTGATTGGTAATAGAATAAATAAAAATACTGACATATGAATATAACCTTTCAATTATATAAAAAAATGAAAAAATATTTGTCATTTTAAATGATACAAAATTATGTCATTTTTAATTAAATTACGTGTTTTGATGTCTTTTTACATTCTATCTCCTCCATCCCCCCCCCCCCCCCCCCCCCCCAATTTTATAAAAAAAGAGAAAATGACAAAACACACCAAAATGTAATTTCATTAAAAATGATAGAAAATCATATATTTAAAATGAGAAAAACTTTTTCCAAAAAAGTAATAATAATCAGAATAATAATAATCAAGTAACTAAATGCGAATGAAACCTAAGCCTTAGATACTCTCGTTAGAGAACTCTCCTCACTTTTGTATAGAAGTTATAGTTTAAATGATCATAATTTCATTTATAAAGTACAATGATATTCTTCGTTCCCAAAACTCGAACTTGATACCTAGGATACACTAAATTGACAGTTGTTTCATATTTTCATTTTTAAATATATTATCTGGAAAATGAAAATGAATGGATCAAACAAAAATATATAATTCACTAGATGTATGTTATGCATACGGGTCAAAAGCTCATTTTTTTAATACGCAATATGGATACACTAAGTACATGTTTGGGAAGTCTTATTTTTAACTTATTTTTTTCTTATAAATAGAAGTTTAACCAAATATGTTTTTACAAAAGCTCTTATTATAAAAAAGAATGTTTTGTTATAATAAATAAAAAGAAGTTAAAGCTAAAAGCTCCCAAGAGTAACTTTATTTAAGATATATATATACTAGTTCTTATATTTAATTTTCAATTTCACCCTTATTTTAAATTTTTATTTACTAATTTTACGCTTTCCCCTAATATTCCATTCTAATAACAAATTATTATATCTTTTCTTCTTCAAAACCCTTACAACAACATTTTTTTTTTTTTCAGGAAACAACAACTTCATATAATCACCAAACAACTATTAACTTTATTTTTAAGCTCTTTCTTTTAACTTTATCTTAAAAATAACTTTTAACTTAAAAAAAATGCCGAGCTCCTCAACTCTACTGATTTGAAAAAGACAATTCAATCACCACAATCGTAGCCCTGTATCACAAACACGGATAGTCCATATTTTTTTAATTGAATAATTAAGTTATTCTATGTCTAAAATAAAATAAATATACGGTTCATGGATGTAAAATTAGTTTGTACATTTCACTGTACATATAAATTGTGCTTTTTTGTAAGGCTCATCGTCCTATCCTATTGTAAGTTTGTCTCTCTTCATAAGAAGGAAACAAAATTTTAATTTTGATCTTTATGTCAAATAGTTCTCAAGGAAATACATTTGAACTATGGTTCTAGGACAATTACTTAGGTAAAGTTAAGCATTAAGATAAGCCTGTCTCCCTAATTACAATTTAAATAGATAATTTTGTATATGGGATTTTTTTTGTTAGAAATGAGAAAGAGTATTTACTTATTTTTAAATCCAAGCTTATAAATTTTATAATTACTAAATTCAGAATATGATAAACTATATATGATCGATGTTCCACTATTTGTTAAATGTGTAAAAAAATTATGAGATACTGAAGGTGTGCCTTAATGGAAATGTATGTGTAAATTTTTTTATCTTTTATAAGTTTGCAATTTCTTATATTATCAATTAAGTATATATTATTACGTGCGTTATCAAAAGAATGATCGTACAATAACTGATCAGTTCAATAATTATTGTGCTGGATATCACACACAGTTGAGCTTGGTGATCTTGATGAAGAGAAGGATAAAGAAGAGATTGGGCGAGATGGAAATTATGTATGCAAGATGATTAAGGATAAAGAATTTACTCGATACAGCCTGAATTCCTTGATCTAACAACTTTAATTTTTTTGGTGTTAACAATTACTAACAAAGGGTTTCTTTATTTCAAGGAAAGAGTGTTTGTCCTTTCAAATGACACAATTTCTGTCATTTCACTTTTACAAAGAGGTGAGACTCATACTTTTAGTTTTTTTTGTCCACTCTCTCTTTATCTATCTCTTTCTCTCACTTAAAATGACATAACTTTATATCCTTTAAAATGACACACATTTTTTCCTTGTTTTAAATGTTGCAACATAAATATA